GGAAAAGCGATAACTCGATCTCGCAGAAATCATACCTTGTACGATATGACTGGTTGCTTTGGGAAACTTCTTTGCAACTCTGCGAAATGCTTCTGCAGGGATAAAGGCTAATGTACTGTCCTCTTTTGCCCTGGCCACGATACCATGGTGGAGCTGAGTTGTAAGGTTAGAGTCTGATCGCGAGCGGGAAGCTCGCTGTGGCGGCGACCTGAACCTGTCGCCAATGTGATACGGGGACGTCGGACGAACGGGGGAAGTTGCATCTGCGGGATGAGCGGTGGAACCAGACGAAGACATAGATGTAGTACGAGAAGGCCGGGAAGTCGCGGATGCATAATCCAGGCTAAAGCGAGACACATCCGAATTCGTGCGGGTAGTACGTGATCGGGGTGGTGCTCCCACTTCACTTCTTCCAAGAGCATCGGGGTGATCATCCTCTTTCCAACTTATCTTTATGTGCTCAGTGAACAAGCTGAGAATGCTGAATAAACTAGACAAGGTTCCACCGCTCCCAACTTCATTGATAAGCTGGTATCCGTTCATATCCTCCTCGTCCCATGACCCATTTTGGAGATTATTCTGGCCTGTTTGAGCGTAGACCTGGACCATGCCATCGACGACGCAATAGAAGCTCCTGTCTTCATCTAGAGAGATACTATCCCCGGCAATTAAGCGTCTCGTTGCAAGATGCCTTGCCAATTCATGGAATACCTGTTAAATTATGATGGGTTGATCAATGCAGACGACGCGGATTACTTACTGGCTTCTCGAGAAATCCAAAGACACGGACAGCTTGCAGAAAATCGTCCAAGTAGTTGTGAAATGCTGGGGGAGGCTCTGTTGTATTCACATCTGGGTGAAGTGCATTCACGTCGGGTTTTACTAACGGTGGCTCCTTCAGTGAGGAGTACGTGTTACGATATCGAAGGTGTATCCAATAATTCAAAGCCACTGCCGAAGCGAAAAACATGATGGCGAATGACCAAAAATTTAGCTAATCGAGCGTGAGCAATTTATATTTCAAGCAATCTTGGAAACACCGACTGTTAATGTCATGGAATAGGACAGAGCAAAGTAGATGAGACGAGGGATGGTGATAGTGGCAAAAGCTATCAAAGCTTTTGCCCATGATAGGAACCATACTGCCGAGATACCGTACCATGAGCATCATCTGATACATGACAAAAGAACGACATGGGCTTACATATTACCCAGAAACAGGCGGAGAGAAGGGAGAGGAGAGGATGTCTTCCATCATATTCGGGTGAATTGGAGGTATAGTCCATGATGGACGTCGTCCGTGGTATGTTCAGGTTGGCTCTGACAGCCTCAGCGATTCAGCTTATGAGTCGACAGTGATCAATTGATGGACCTTAAGTAGTGATGAGCTAGAAACGTTTGATACGACGTAACAGTACCTCTCGAAGCTGGCTGAATTTGGAGTAAAATGACAGGAGACTACGGGCCGAGTGCCCTGACCCGGGTGGCTGTGCCATTGCACGTTCTCCACAACATGGCAGCCGCGTCCACCTCAGCCTCTGACGTGCAGACCTCGTATGAGACCGAGCGAGACAACGAGCCCAGGTTGCACGTAGAATTTCTGAAGGACACGGCAAGAAAAGCCTTGATCGACACTCTAAACGCGGTGCGCTCTTTGGTACTCGTACACCTGTTTCAAGTGAACTAAAGGGTTCATTCTGTACAGGTAAATGGCGCAAAGACACTCGTGCTTGACCCTACTCTTGCGGGGCCTTTGGGACTGGTCACAGAAGTCGCACTTCTGAAGGTACTTTGTACTGTTCTCATGTTGATTGCGTATTTCACTCCATTACTAGCATCATGGTGTAGACAAGATGTTCTGGCTTGAACCAGGCCCATTGACCTCGACGACGACAAACGTCGTGTACCTTTGTCGCCCGCTAATCAAGTACGTCAAAATTATTGCAGGTCTGAATTTCCCTTTTGTATACGGTCGTGCAGTAGACTCAGTGCATGTAGATCAGGTTAAAGCCCATATTCGAGAGTCGCAAAAGCACAGATATACACTCTTCCTCATACCTCGCATATCTACTCTAGTATCAAGGATACTCGAGGAAGAGGGAATTCTCGGCGAGATCACGATATCTTCCTACAACTTGCAGTTCATTCCCATTGCGGAGGATGTCATCTCACTCGAGAACGATAACGCCTTCAAGGAGTTATGGGTGGTATGTACATCATCCACTTATTAACAGTATAGCGTTACTCAGTCCGTCCAGGATGGTGACGAAACCGTGATATATAACTCTGCGTTAGCACTCAACTCGTTGCAGAAGGTGTACGGTCGCTTCCCTCGCATATTAGGAAAGGGAGACTATGCTTCGGTATGATCTTCCATACTCCTGCATAGCTCCAGATAGAACCATTCTTCACAGCGGCTGGCAACCCTTCTCACGAAATCGCTACCCGATCAACCTTCTCCCTTGTCAGATTCCTCGATACCTGCTGCACCGTTTGACTCGCTCATTATTATTGACCGCACCGTTGATATGATCACACCGCTTCTGACCCAGCTCACGTATGAAGGCCTCATCGACGAGTTTCTTGGTCTCAAGAACTGTAAGCAATCCACGAGATACGAGAACGTGACCGGTATTGACATATTCGTAGCTCATGTTGAACTACCAGTTAGCCTCCTCACCCTCCCCGCTGCACCTAACCCCTCAAATCCCAACGCCACCCCATCAGGATCTGCATCTGTCACTCCACTTATCAATGAAAAGACGAAGAAGCACCACCTCTCGACTGCCACTGACCCGCTATTGGCTGAGTTGCGCGACTTGAACTTTTCATCGGTAGGGAAAAGACTCAGCAAAGTGGCACACCGATTAGACGAAGACTACAAAGTGTGTGGTTCCACTCACTGCCGTGAAATGATACAGATATTGACAAACAAAAGGCTCGATTACAGGCGAAGACCGTCGCGCAGCTTCGCGACTTTGTTGGAAAACTTGGTGGTCTTCAAGGGGAACACCAGGCGCTGAGACTTCGTAGGGGCAACTTTTTCTTGTTTCCTAGGGGATGTTCTCATTTCTACGTAAAGATACTGGTCTTTCGGAGATGCTCTCATTGAAGACACGCACGGAGTTGTTCAACAAATCGCTTGAAATACAGCAGAGTAAGCACGTTTGCTCATGAAATTCCTCTTGAACTTGATGTCCAACAATAGATCTTCTGGCATCGTTTGAGGTCTCAGCTCAGATTAGTGCAATCGAAGATATGATTGCTCAGGGTGCAAGCATGCAAACTACCGTACGACTGTTATGCCTCGCTAGCATTACTAGTGGTGGAATCAAGGCCAAACTCTTGGATAGTGTAAAACGCGAGCTTCTCCAAGTAATCTCACTCGGTTTTTTCCGTGCTTATTGTGAAGTTCACGATCCATCTTACAGGCTTACGGGTACAATTATCTTCCCCTGCTTCTGTCGCTGGCCGCGCCCGCTTTGGCTATTCTGCTGCCCAATCCCCTCCCAATTTCCGCTGCTCCTGCTGTCGCGGGAAACAAATACCCCTTCACAACCCTACGCAAATCACTGCGACTTCTTATTGATGATAACCCTGAAGCACTGGAGGAGGTTGAAAATGATATCAGTTATACATACTCTGGATACGCACCTATTAGTATCCGGCTGGTCCAATGCGTTGCCCAGAAGAGTGGAGTCATCAGTAATCCTGCAGAGAGGAGCAGTGCAGATGACGGAGATGCCAAGGGCAAAGGGTCTAGCGCCAGAAAACACCATGCGCATCCGATCATAGGCTGGAAAGGCTTTGAGGACGTATTAGGTACGATTCCGGGAAAGACATTTGACATTGCGCAGGAGACGCCTGCATCTATCAACTCCACTGCTTCTTCCGTCGCCTCCTTAAGTAAGTCTCCGGACGTTACCACTGACAGGCACTCCACTATGCTGATATAATATTTAAATAGTGCGCCCACATGAGCAAACGACGACAACTGCCGTATTTTTCTTGGGTGGGTGTACGTATACGGAGATTGCTGCCCTTCGTTGGGTGAGCCGACAAAACAAAGGTGCCGTTTCATCGCACTCTAGCGTAGAGATGATGTTGACTTTTTGGCAGGTCGTAAATTCCTCATCGTGACTACGGGGATTGTGAGTGGGAATAGCTTAATCGATAGCATTGCGGGCACTGGGAAGAATCTTTCTGCGACCAAGGACGTGAACGCCTAACAATGCGATCTGTCTGCAGTAGAGAGTATCTGTACTAGTGACTCCGTCTACTGCGCATCTCGTACATATTGCTGATCGATACAGGAAGAATTGAATCTAAAAAAGGGATTATTTGGGAAGAAATAATATCGAACGTGGATACGAGTCTGTATATTACTTGGATCAACAACGACGCGACGCGTTTGTTTGCCTATTTGATTCCCGGACCCCTGGTACTTGAACTTGGTCTAGCCAAATTACGACAGTCTAACGAGATTCCGACTCAATTCTAAGTTAGCAGGGAACGTGTGTATCTGCCCATGGGGACGGTAATTGAAAAATGACAGTTGACAAGTGCAAGGTCCTCAAACAACTGGTGTTTCAACATTGGGTCAAGTGCACTAAGCCAACAACGTAAATAAAAAATACTTTTTTTCGGTGTTTCTATTATTACGTCAACATTAGTGACTGGGGTCCTACATCTGGCGCGAGCCCTCCCCCGGCGGGTCAACAACTTACGAAGAAAAAGGTCCGCAAACTCGAGCCAATATGAACTTTTCCTCTCTTCAACAGACTCCACCCACATCCCCTTTCCACACACCTTCCAACTTTTGTCGATCTCAACGGTAAGCCGACCCGATTATCGACCTCTTTAGTAAACCAAATATATTGATGACGGTTTCTAGTTAGCTTGCGGCTTGAACCGTGCACTGCCCCTTTTATTAGCGTCCTCAACGAGTTCGCATCAACCGCGTTTTTCTCGCTTATACACCCGAATTGTTTGTTCGAACTATGCCCCCTCGGACAGAATCGAAGACGGGGTCTGAGAAACCTGCAAAAAAGACCAGTATGTGCTGTCGTCATCGAATACGTAGTTGATCGCTCATGTGTTTATTTTTTTTTTCCATAGAGTCGTCTGGCTTCGGTGGGAGGAAGAAACTGAGCGCGTTCAATAAATTCATGCAAACTGAGATGGCCCGGTTGAAGGAGGAGGAACCCGACATGTCCCACCAAGACAGGTAGGTCTAATCATGCGGCTCGTGCGACTGGGTCTTGCTAACCCACGAATCTGTAGGTTCAAATTAGCCACGGCTAACTGGAAGACAGCAAAAGAAAACCCTAGGGCTGCTGCCTGATTGTTATATTACTTTGTGACACCCTATCGCTACGATCATGTGCTTTCCTCGTTCCGTCGCCTCGTTGCCGCTCGCTTCCCGTCGTGTTATATCTTCACATTTGACCGCTAAGCTGCGCATTCCTTGCCCGAATATTATTCGTATCGACTGTCGTTCTTTCTGTAGCCCTCTTTCTGTGGTTTCCCGTTGTCGTTCTGCTTAGTGTTGCTACTAATTTCCACCGTATTCACGCTGCTAGTTGAGTTTGCATTGCAATTATTTGTTGCTATCTTGTGTCGCGCGACTCGGACACGATTTTGATCAGACTTCACATGGACTGGGCTTTCTCAGAGATTCTGCTTTGTGGAAATGACGTACCAAAGTAGCGTGGCCCCTAAGACATGTTCCGATGAACTCCGTCACTGATATGCCGCCCTATCAAGTCAAGTTCTCTCCTCGTCCTGCAACACCGTCATTCCCCTTTTCTTTCTCTCTCTCTCTCCTCTGTATCTCTGATCTTTCTCTCCATCTGCTTCATCACATTACTTATGGACAAACTGCCTCGCATCGATAACGAGGATGCCTTGTTCCCCTTCGATCCTTTTGAACTCCCCATGAGTCCTAACCATCAAAGTCCGTTTCTTTCTTCCTCGTGTTAGTTTCTCATGTCAATCACAGCCCACATACCAGACGCCCTATCTAATCCTGGCATGGAAGCAAGCAGACAGGACGATCCAGAGCCTAATGACACGCTGGGCAAGGGCAAAAGCCCCTCACTACCGATGACCATCCCAGCAGCCTCCAGTCGCGATTCATCTGTGATATCTCCAGGATTATCGCCTACATTCGAGTCGCCTCTCGAGGGAACTTCATCATCTTCTCTCCTACCGTTCGTTTCGGAAGATAATACAATATCGGTATCACCAGATAAGATTAACATTCTGCTCTCAGAAGACCGCGACATACAACTCGCCGGATCATCGAGTAATGATGATTCCGTATTTATGAATGCCTCATTGCATGGCAAAGGGAAAGCAAAAGATCTAGCTTACACGTTGCCTCCTCTCTTATTCTCCACGAGCGACTTGCAATATCGCACCATTGACTGGCCGTCCCCTGATCTTGCCTCCCCAACCACAACCGCAGGTCCTTCCTCTTACGGTTCAACACACACTTCCCCTCCCTGCGCGTCCTCTACTTCATCTCACTCAGCCTCCCAGCCCTCCCAGAATAGCCTTACACAACAGCTTCCGGAACTGACAAAAGTGCCCTCCCGGAGGCGATCGTTGTCCAACTTGTCAATTCATTCCACACGTTCGTTAGCTGCTCGATCTATGTCAAGGATCAAAGTTAAACTGGGCTCATCATCCAAGGGCCCAGGTAACCTCGCCCGTAGATTATTGTTCAGGAATAAGCCAAGTGCAGCTACGACATCAATAGATCTCAGCCCTGCCGGCTCTGTGCTGGATCCTTTCTTGGGGGACCCTACAACAGCAGCGCAACGTATTTGCATTCCAGCATGGAAAAGTCCCGATTTCCAGCCTTGTCCGAACCTCGAGCTCCCATCAGACGCACGAACACATGTTCAACAGAGCGCTGAAGGTCCTGAAAGCCTCAGTAGCATCACAGGCAAAGGCCGCTCATATTCTTCTCCGCTCCCTCAGTCTGTCTTTGACATCATTCCTCGTGGCAATAGTGACGTCTTTGCCCCCGTGCCTTTAGTCCTGCAAAGCGTCTTCGATGAGGCTTTGCCCAGAGAACTGAAGTTGCAGGTCTTCTCAGCCTTGATTTCATTGCACGAAGACGAATTTCAGCTGTGGAAGTCGTCGGGACAATGGACTGCCTTAAAGGCATCCTCATCCAAGTATCGCTGGGTGGGCAGAGATCGTGGGATGCGCGAGCTGGTGAAGTTGAGCAGGGTAAGCGTGATTGGCACACGCGGTTGCGTTATCTGCAATGACACATGTTACGTGTTAGGTGTCAAAGGCGTGGCGCTCATTGGTCTTTGACGGTCAGCTGTGGATGGATGTCGACCTCAAGGCATTCCCAAACCTTCCAGCGCCCTTCCTTCTGCGTCTCGCAGAGCCGCTTGGGCCGTTTATAAAGAACATGGATCTTACCGGATACACAAAGCTTGATCACGGCACTCTGAGCCAAGTCACGACCAGCCTCTGTGTACGCTCCGCGCCAACCATTGATTTCGCGTATACACAACTCTTGGACGTAAATCTGACAGGTTGTAATGCGCTGACTACGCAGGCATTACACAACCTCATCATTCATTCTCCGTTTTTGCGCAGCCTTTGCGTCAAAGGGTTGAAAGCCGTCAACAACACTACTTTCGATGTTCTCGCGCTCTGCCCCCACCTGACATCCTTGAACATGAGTCGGTGTTCCAATATTAACGGAGACGGGCTCCACAGATATGCAAATGCCGTACTAGGGCGCCACGGCCAGCTTGCGCTGAAAGAGCTCAGGCTATGTGGATTGGAGGGTATTTATGACCAGGTCCTGGGAGTTCTAGGAAAAGCAGCACCCTCGCTGGAAGTCCTCGATCTGAGCTATTCTCGTTCGCTGCATAACTCGGCGTTAGACGCTTTTGTGGCGTGTACAGAAGAAGAGAAGTCAACGGAGAGCGTGATGCTGACAGCTCGTCAGGCAGGGCGAGAAACGCGTGATAGTGGGCGCTATCGGAGGCGAATTACGAAGCTCAGACACCTATCGCTCTCGAACTGCAAGCTGCTCACGGACACCGCATGTTCCAATCTAGCGTATGCAGTGCCACGTCTGGAGTTGTTGGAACTGGCGGGCATTGGGACGCCGATGAAAGATGAGGGGCTTGTAAGACTTTTGGAGACCACGCCACTTATCCGAAAGCTTGATCTTGAGGATGACGAGGATATCACCGATGCCGTCCTAAGCGCACTGACCCCCAGTCCCCTAGAAGGTTCCGGATCAGAGTCAACACAGCCCCTGCAGACAGGACAGGCGTTGGAACACCTGGTTGTGTCGTTTGCTGTCAACATCAGTAACGAGGCCTTCCTTTCTCTCATTTGCAATTGCCATCGCCTTAGGGTGTTGGAGGCAGACAGCACGTCCATATCCGGGACTGTCCTCAAAGAGTTCGTGCGAAAGGCTCACGAACGTAACACGTCCAATGCAACCTTGGTTGCTATCGACTGCCGTGCTGTGGGTGAGACCTCCGTCAAGGATGTTGCCGCCATAACCCGCCCTCGCAGAGGCTGGTGTGCCTGGGATGCGCGGAAGCTCGCGTACCTGGACGGTCGGGACGAGAAAGAACTGAAAGCAGGGCAGGATGAATGCGATGAGAAGCGCATTGTGTTGAAGTCATTTTATAATTGGCAAACTGTAGATGCCGTTCGAGCTGCGCGGGAACGGCATCGGCGAAGTTCCCGGCGCGCGGGTAGCGGATCGTCGGATAATCTTGAAGACATTGCCCAAACTTCCGGGCGCATGCGATGGTGGTCCCCCAGTAGTGCGAGGCGTTCGCCTAATATCAACACCCCAGATGGGGCAACTAGCGACCGAGAAGGATGTGTCGTGACGTAGGATCCTTATACTTGTACGCTTTAATATTTTCTTGATCTGTTTTACAAAGCTGATTGTGCACAATCACATTACTCACGTAACGAGCGTTCTTCGATGTATTACTGAAATTTCCCTGTTGTTCACTAGTAGGTTAACTGTATTATTTCAATTCTACCTTGCATAGTGCAACTTTTGCCTAAAAACTCGGTGTTCGTAAACTGTCTCCGTGCATATGCTCAAATTCGCATGATGATCCAGATGAAGTGCATGACCGAAGATCGTATCCAACGACTGCAAGGATATATCAAGACTTACATGGGTTACTGTTCGGTACGTGAACTATTTGTTTTATTACTACCGTTCCATTTCTAACTTAGTCTTCGGCATTTAAAAGCATGTCTCTACGCAATACAATAAAAACTTCGATTTCCTCAAACAACACTTGACCACCCATATCATCCCGGAATCCCAGATATCAAGCAGAAGGGAACACTCGATAACTATGAGACTCGTGTTGGCGAAGGTTTCCATCGAGAGATGCAGGAGACATACAAACAAACAAACAAACTGTAAGGAGGCTGAACCTCAGGTGCACTTACTACCCTCACGAATACCGAAAACACGCTGACGTTTTATCAGATAGCTAGGATTGACGAAAATCTAGAAGCAGTAGCACTCATGTTTATAGACAATCATGATGCGAGCCAACACGAGAGCACGCTAGCGAAGACGACTAGATCCGACGAAGTTCAATCCGGTTCGGATGCGACTCAGATCCGCGGTACGCTGACAAGGTCCGATGAACATTGGATCCTGGGATCACCAGTTTCCGGGATCACAGATGTGAAGGGATTAGTGGATGAGCTTGTTCCCTCGTGGACTCGCATGATTAATCTTGTAGACCATGAAGTCCTGCAAAGATACCGACAGCTGAAAAAAAAAGACGAGGGATATAGTGATATACATACGCAAAAGCTGATGGGGAATACTTCTGGTATAACTCGGTCACGTCACTTATCATCGTCGATCCACTTTGAGAGCACGAGTCATACAACGGACGGGATTTGTTTGAAATAGTAACGACACAATTGAAAGACCACAAACATATTGAGTTACACGACAGCAGCCAACGTTCGAAAACAGATTTCAAGTCAGAGGTAAACAATTGGAACACAAAGGAAATATCCAAAAGATCACAAAATCTGGATCTCAAGCCTGATCGATGCTGAAGACACCGGTAGCGGGATCATACGTGATGTTCCACGTAGTATTGTCCTCGAGAGCAGCAAGATTTTGTTCGAAGAGACGATCGGTCTCGATTGGGCTCTTGATCAAGGTGTTCTCCTTGAAGTCCGTGCAAATATACCCGCGTAGAATCGGCTTAAACTCTTCTACGTTCACAGTCTGCCCCTGCCCTACTCCGAGCCAGACTAGAGCCGTATTCGCCGTGTTCCAATCCACAGTGATGGAACCTGGAGAATATGTGGCGCAATAAATTTACGAATAGCAGGTAAACGTACCAAAGCCTATGTCCTCCTCGGATGGTGCGTTGTTTATACATTGAATATTTGTCACCGCGGGGTTGGTTTGGGGAGTCTAGGCTTGTCTCGCAAACGGATATTGAGAAGGCCTGAAGGTGCACTTACAGAAAAATGGTATGCGTCGCCCTCCTCAGTTAAAGTGGTAGTTTGCCCAGGCTAAGTAGCAGTCAGTCAGTGAAACACAACGATAAATACGGGAATCCGTCCGACTCTCACCTGCATAGCAACCCCGGTAACATATTGAATGACACCACTAGAAAGATCAACCTTGGTGAACGCGGATCTGAGGGGTGCATTGTAGATTAGCTCTCCACACAAGCTTCAAATAGCCCTCACTGTGACGAAAACGAGATTGAGGAGCGGTAGTGGCCTGTCATTGTGAGTGCTTATGTAGATAGCCCAAGGCACTGATGATATTCACCCACCATCGGCCCCAAATTTCCTGACCCTATCCGAAAAGTTACATCAGCGAGAAAGCGCGACAACAAAGACAAAAATATGAAGGATACACGTACACAAAAGCCGATGGGTAATAGTCCTGATAAATATTAGGGATAGACTGATCGTCGAAAGTGAGAAGAAGGTCGAAATCTATGCCGAGATCATTGGATTCGAAGTTGAGCTGTTTGACAAAGGCATTTGAACCCATGGTGTAGAGTCGAATTCGAGATTGAAAGTACAGGAAAGTTGGCGTTCAACGTTCAGTTATGGCCTATTGCTGAGTCCACACGACTTATATACCACCCTCCGGAAGGACAGCAACGCCGTATCCGTAGAGATCGAATCTAGAAACTAGAAAGGGAGAGCCTTTTTCAGGTCAGGTTCAGCATGCTTCATGAACAGCTGACCATCGTTTCAAGGCCAGTCCGTCGAGGTATGAAATGATTCTTTTGATGCGTTAGTATTCGCCACTGTGAAGGGTACAAGGGACGTACAAAATTCCATAGCGATTTACGAGACTTCGAGCCATTATGCCGTTTGATGAGATCTGGTCATTGTTCGGAGTAAAGTCATGGAGGTCACATTGCAGCTTGACCTGGTTTTCACTCGACTTCTCTGCTCGGAACGTCAAAATGGGATAAGTCAGGGTGCGATAATCGGACGCGATAAAACCAAAGCATCCACGTGATCGCAATAACCGCCTACCTCCTCTTTACTTGCACGCACATGCCTACGCCTGCCACTCTCGTGTCGGATGTCAGCTCTATTTCCCTACCTAATACTTTTTGGTATGAAATATGTATGTAATCCATCATGCTAAAGAATCAAATATCTTCTTCGGAACGCGAGCAAAACCGAGTTCGGAGTGGCCGTGCAAGGAGACTAGCAGATTTTCAACACCAGACACATCTGACGATCTGTTCTGAAGATCCTCAGAATCATGTATCGCCGCATCCCCATGCATCGATTCGGAACTCTCTTCATACCGGTTGTGGATCTGGGGTCAACGCGTACTACACTTATGAGGATGACCTCAAAATGTTAGCATTGATTGCGGATATGATGTGGCCCTTTCCTATCATGATGTGTAGAATGAAAGACGGGCCCGGGAGTAGAGGGTCCCAGTACATGACTGGTATCAACTTGATGATTTTTTCTCCTCCCGTCTTGCTTTCTTTCCTGCTTTTCGTTGCTGCACTTCGTTGGCTGCTGATAAATGAGTACTTTGTCCTGACTGATCTGGTGTCTGATCAGCCGAGGCACTATCTGCTATGGGTAAGGCAGATGCGGGCGACCTCTTTTTCTGCTGCTTTAGTTTCTCAGACTTCGAAGAATGACCAGCATCATCATCTCCGTATCCTTGAACGTGTGAGTTCTAGCGTGGCTACGTAAAAGTTCACGGTTAAGACTTGCCTGAGGCTGCAAAAGGATCTATTCGTTGTCGCTTCCGTCTGTCACCTACTTGTTCTTCACATTCTGGGACTTCTTTTTCAACCATTCGTGATTTACCCTTGTTTTGGGGTGGCAGCGACTGCCCTTCTTCTTCTTCTTCTTCCATCGCATCCTCGTTGCCCGACACCTCAGCCTCAACGAATACTTCAAGGTCCTCCTCTTCTTCACTGCCCAATTCCTGCAGGTTCTTCTCGTACTCTGCACGCTCTGCCATTTTGCTAGTTATTTTTACTGGAACCCGTTCACTAGTAGAAGCAGGTCCATGTGGCGTATTGCTCGGTTCTTCAGCTTTTACTAGCTTTGCTTGGGCGATGGCGTGTTTAATAAACCTATTAGCGGCTGCTTTATCGATACCAAGCCTCTCTGAAAACGGATAGGATATTTAGCATGGGAGTCAACGCCCGGAACAAAGGACCCTTGCTTTTCTCTTCAGAATCTTCTGCGCTCTTGATTTTGTCAAAGTATTGACGGACGCGGTCCTGAAACGAGCATAAGATGGGTGAGAACTGCACCACAACATAAAAGCGCACCAGTTCGCCGATAACAGGATGGGTCTTGGGATCTATTCCTCGTGTTTTGAGGTATACTACATGTGATGAGACGAGCTAGCTAGCTAGTATTTGACGATAAATACGTACCGAATACGAGATCGTAAAGTACATATGGAAGGATCACTTGCAATTTGGCTTGTTGGATGGTTTCGAGGGCTACGAGAGTCTCGGGAAGGCTCTTGGTGAATAGAGGTTCGAGCTGAGTCTCGAGCTCATCGAGAGATGTATTGAGTTTTGCCACTTTGGCTCGTAGTTTGTCCTCGTCAGAAGCCATGGTGTTTCAGACAAAGTGAAGGCGCACCGTAGTACATAGTAGCCTTTGATAATTACAAAAAATAAATCAAATATCTAATTGTGAAATTACAAAAATTAATTCTTTTCTCTCAACGATCATGGTGAGTTTCGTCAGGTCCATAATCTGACTATTTTGACTGGTTTATGTACAGTCCTCTGAACTCAGGTATACTGCCAACACGCAACTGGAGCATTGTGAGCACCGTTTTCGTTCAGTGTAATCTATTTGACCTTCTTTCAGTGCACGCTCGTTACACAGGAACTGGTACGTTCCGTTTTCAAATATCTCAGTGGTTCGTTTCTGATAGTTCCTTTATCTCTTTAGGACACGCAGACTTGACGAAATAGTACGCCGGCTCTTTGGATATGTAATACCCATTCTGAGCGTGCAATGATAGTGATTGGGTCACACATCAACATAGGGATACGTTGTCTTCTATTGTAGGACACCCGTCCTTGCTTTCGTACCTAGCCCTTGCAGACGGGGAAGCTATCGGCCGAACGAAGTTCGAAATGACAGAGGTATGTCAGGCTACTCCAAGAACCTAATCATAATCTGATAAATTCATCAGCGAATGCTGCAGCCCTGTGGCCCCCCTCCCAAGAAAGACGAAGATTGAACTTTCTGCCGTACCCCTTTCGTCGTTCCTCCGCCAGGTACAGGGATCGTATTCACGGGCAGTCCTTTTTCGTTCCACGTTACCCATCATTCATCGGTGCTTACGATCTGACGACATTCAAACGTTCTTAATTTGTTAAGAGATTTGTTCATAATTACAATGTCTGCACTCGATCGGACCCCGCTGTTACGCTGTCGAGATATCCCCTTGCGTCATGAACCCTGGCATGAGTAAACTGAGCTGACCAAAAGCAAGAGAGGACCCTTTACTGTCATTGAATGTGTCAAGCGGGCATCCGGTAGGAGGAGATGGGAGCCCAGATATTTTCCGTTGTGGCTTCAAATGCCAAGCTTATCTCGGCAAGTCCTTGTTGATTGGACAGGTTGTTCGGCGTCTAGTGGTACGAGAATGACAGCCTTGAGGGATGCTCTTGGTGATGTGGCGGGTATTTCCATAGGGTATTATTGTCGACAGTCGTCACATCGGCACCAGCTGCTCAAGTTGGCAACTGATCCTAAGATCGTGGGGGATTGATTATCCTGGGGAAATGTGATTGGTGTACTATTAAGTCTTTTTCTGGTGCTACGCTTTGGTCTAAACAAGGGATCGCATGATCGCGGGGCGCAGAACGTGCCGTTACGGACGGAACGCAAGTATCCGCTAGGAGTTATTGCTGTACTGGGGCACCGCTTTGGTTGATGTGTGATAGTAAGCTTGACTACAACGTGAATTGGTGCGGTTTTACGCAGAGAGAACATGAGAAGCAGTCGTGCAGGTCGTTGTGCCCGTTGAGCTCTTGTCCTTGTTTTTCGGTGGTTTTCAATGAAAATGGCCGGCGGAAGTTAACTTGATTTAGCATCGAGAAATGACCCGATTTGGACATTAGCTTTACAGCCATTGTTCCTTAAGTGTCGGGAAATATACTAGACACCCTAACGCACGGTTTCCGGTCCAGATCTGATTCATGCACAGATAATATGATTAATCCGAGATTGATTAGCTCTTTACATTTCCCCACCATTAGCCCGCCGCGGTGCTCATTTCAACATACGACCACGACCATCCTGTCCTCCAACTACCACCACACCCAATCTGGTCCTTGCACCGTCCTTATAGACTGCGCTTGACCCTTCAACTGAATCCCCTTTGTCCTCAGCGCTTTCTGCAGTGGACAATTCTTTTCTAATAGTCCACAAAGGCCTATGCTGGCCACAATCGCTTTAACTGGCCACAATCATCGTTGTAGTATTAATTCTCCTCCGGCTAATACACCATGGCATTGGAAATCTCTTCGCAACCGTTTTCTCCCTTTCAGCCCCGTCCTCTCCACGAGTGCTCCTCGTCCGAAAGCTTAATTCTGACCCCGCGACCGTCATTCTACAACTTCTCAAACAGCTCTTACTCTCCGACAGACTTTTGCAGTCGCCCCTGCTCTTTCAGCAGTATTGACTCTGGTTACGCCAGCATCATGGGTCAACAGTCTGACGCAGATTCTATCCGAAAGCGCAGGTTTTTTGGGAAACACCTCGTCCCTTCCGACACAAACATGCTACCTTCCACCTCCATCAAGCGCACCCCGTCATGGGATTCGTCCAAGAGGGCATTTCTTCAGAGGAGAAAGAAGTCGCCAAGTGACGCCTCGGAGTCATTTTCGACGACTTCGTGTCATAGTGCGAGCACAAGCACTCTCTCAGATAAAACAGATCTATCTAGTGATGGAGACGAAGATGTCGAATTCACGCAGGGGACGCACTCCCCTGCAAAAGCATTTCAGGCTAAGAATCACTTCGCCACAAGAAGAGGCATGATTCATCATCCCTATCCTCCCCACCAAGCTCCTTACATGCAAGCCTATGACCGTACACTTCTTGACAAGTGAGTCGTCTTGCTACCATATTCCTGTGCTCCGAACTGACAACCACCATCACAGCGATCGATTCTCGGATGCTCTCTTGCAACGACTCAGTACTAATGGGACACCGTCGTTTCTCACATTCAATGGCAACCCGCCTACTACTATTCTAGATCTGGGATGCGGTGCAGGATATTGGGCCATTAGGGCTGCAAAACATTGGCCAAACGCAAGGATAATCGGTATCGACTTAATTGCTCCATCAAGCTTAAATGACGGCATTGCTACCCCATCAAATGTGGAATGGAGGCAAATGAACTTGTGAGTACGCGCGTCTTTCGCATGATCCTGCTTTACTTACCAATACTGCACAGCGTCGGGCACCGATTAGGCTTCCCAAGTGACACATTCGATCTCGTCCGGATGGCGAACCTGTCCCTGTGCATTCCCCTTGAGAGTTGGGAAGAGATTCTCACGGAAGTCATGAGAGTTTTGGCGCCCGGCGGGCGGCTAGAATTGATTGATGATCAAGCCTTATTCCCAACCGTGAAACCTGTCGAGCGCGCTTCCGCTTCATCGGCCGCCCGCAGCGTTTCTCCTTCCCGCTGTCATTCGTACATTGACTTTGATGACAGCGACTCCGATAACTCCGATGACGAAGCCGATGACGACTTCAAGAGCACACGGAGCACCCTATCTGAGGATGAGGAAGAATCCCTCCCATACGATGCTGTGTCAGAATGGACGAGAAATGAATCCAATGCGAAAGATCTCGAAGGTCTGTTTATTGATATGCTCTGGAGCAAGTACAAGATCCGCACGGACCAACGAAGAAACTTAGAGAAAGTTCTGGATCATGTTTTCGGACGATACAACGCCCAGAGAGTCGCGGCGATGACTCTCGCCATTGCACCTCCAGTGCCCAATTCAGACTCTGGCTCTGGCTCAGATCCTGATCAAGCGTCGGTGTCGAGCACAGACAGCAAGAGCCTGAAGAAGAAAAAGGGGAAAGTCTTCAAGCAGTGGATTGCTGTTGAATGGGACAAGATCGAGAACAAGGGCAAGAAAGGTGACCGTTCCAGTGGAGAGAGCGTCCTTTCCCCCATACCACAAGCTATCAGTGCCAAAGCAGCAGGCCGTCTTGGTATTTCCTCTTCTGCTACTGCTTCCCCCAATCCACAATCAAACCGATGTTCGGTAATTCCCCCACCCTCTCGTCCTGCTCAATCTCCTGGGCTGGTCTTGTGGCCTAACACGTTGATTGAACTGGGGCCCTTCGAGCTCGAGATGCATGCATGCAAGCACATGCAGAGTCTGCTCGGGTGCAAAGCCGCGTTGCATGAGTACGCGCAAGAATCCTTCCGTGACGCCGACGGAAATCCCCTTTTAGATGACGCAGTGTTAGATGATCTTATCTGGGACTACGAGTGGTGAGTACTTTCAACTGAATATTTTCCTTCAAAGTCTTATGTTCCAATTTAAAGCTTTCGTCGGAAACGTTTTAACTGGCCATCAGTGACTCCTGAAATAGAAAAGTCTATCCATGATGAGCCCTCTGTCACTCCCAATCATAGACTCTCGGCCGACATCCTATCTATTCGTTCACGTCCTCGGGGAGGCTCAGACGCCAGTATGAAGCAACCCGAGACATCACGCTATTCGAAAGACGAGCTCACTTTCGTGCGCTCCATCTACGTGTACACTGCCAGCAAGACTACCGCCGACGATATCATTTTATCGTAGGAACGCCTGTACCAGACCTCATTGTTCGCATTACCTGTATACCCTTCGTCACTTTATCCGACGCTCTCAATCCGGATCTCATCTATCCTTCGCGTTCCCTCCTCCGCTTCCGTTATTGATTATTGCTATTTGCCGTATCACTGCTTTCTCCTGCATCGCCGCACTCGAACACTCACTCATTACTGTAGTATGGTCGTGTCACACATACTAGATTGCATCGTAATAGTCGGTACCTTATATTGCATCTACACCGGCTGCATGGGCTCGATCTTTTTGTACATGTACTGTATGATCAACTTTGTAGAAATTGGTCCATGATCATAGTCTATGTGGATCACAGAAATCAAATATTATAACTCCTCATAAACGATGACCTCAGTAATCTCTTCTTCGCCCTTGACCAGCTGCATCTCGTCACCTTCGGTTGACCGGTCATGGATCGTACCAATACGTGCGGTCTCTTCGCTGACCCCTGCAAAGCGTATTGACCCAGTGATCATGACCGGTTCGGAGCTCAACCGGCGAAAGCAGTGTTCCTTGAAGTTGATTACCACTCGGGTGCCGATCATGGTCTCCAGGAGCATGATGAATGGGGTAGACATACTCGCACTCAGGGCCTAAATGCATGCAGGGACCAATAAGTAACACGTCAAAAAAATGATCCAAAAATCTCACAGTGGCATTCCGCCACAGGCCTATGACAACAGCGCACTTCGCCAGGTTTCTACACAGATGGACCGATTATCAGCTGATGATTAGGAAGCGTACGAAAAAAGATGATGCTAACATGAAAAAATACAAAATGCTGTCTCGCACGAGTATACTCATGAATGAATTTATGCGGAAGGTGGAGGCACCGGGGATGGCCCTCCTCTCTCTCATATTATTGAGAGAGACTTTGATGGCCAAGGAGAAGAGCAAAGTCTCGAAGCAAAGGACGGGTATGAATAAATAGATGAAGTCCGTGTTGATCCCGGAGAAGGAGCACGAGTGCCTCCCAGGAAAAGGCTCGGTGGTGACTAATGGTGTGGAGTGAACAAGTGTGGCTCCACGTATCTTTGCAGTACGTACCGACCAATTTGTTTGTTAGACCAACGGTTTTCCAAATGATCACAACGACGGCAAGGACCTCGCTGAAAAAAGCGAAGAGCAATAACCCAAGTATCCACCTAGCCCGCCGGTACATCGCATATATTCGGAGTTGCATGATGCCTGTGCGGGTGGTGTAAATGTCAAATTGTATATGCACAGATATGATTTACACTGAGTAAGCCATGAACACAGAAGAGTACCCCAAGCTCGGACCTGGAACAGCCGAAAGCCTTGAGTATAAGTGAGATGCTGGTCATTTGGGATACGAAGTCAATGTACTTGCATCTGAAAAATGCGTGAAACCAATACTATCAGCAAGAAGTAAAAATCAAGCGCGTCATGAATCATACTCCTGTAAACAACTTTGTAAGAAAACCGCAAATCGTACGATGAGACAAATATGCTTACTTGTGTCGATGCAGCTTCAGTGAGGCATACTAGATCATGTGTGAGAGATAGCTTGCGATGTAAATTTTGACATACAATATGCACCGATGCTAAGAACATATCAGAATACTAATAAGAGCTAAACACAAGGGCTTACATCACAATGGAGTCGCCCACGTAGCGGTCCTAACCGACATGAAGACTAGAAAAATCCATACTGGTTGCACATACCAATAAATATAAGGCGGCCACTAATGAAGGCGACCTCCGCTGGATATCAATGAATACAGCACATGACAAACACCATTTTCAAGTTTGACTCACCCATATGTAGTCTATCTAAGGGTCCAGCAATGTCGTTAAGTTTTGCTCATCGAGGATTGGTCAACAGTGACTCACTTCACGAGCGAATGTTAATGCTGAACAGATGATAACTGAGTGAGTGGTCATAAGACTCGATGGATTGCGTACCATGATCATACAAGACGGCGACAGCGATAGCAACTGAAGATAGCGTTTGGATTGAACGAGATGGGAAAACGGAAACATCACCGGAACTAACCTTGTGCGTATGAAATTGAATTAAGGTCATGGGTTATTGTTATTGCAGTTGAACTCATGTGTGCAATACGCTCAACTACTTTTCAGGAGTAAAAGAGCTCTAGGGCATCAGAGTCGTTTGGAGGGCGAAAATGGCGGTTTCACTGCAATGCTTATAGTTAGGTTAGTAGAAGCACACGCGTTTAAGGCAAAAGCGTCGTTTACAAAAGGAACAATATTTAGTAGCAAAACGTTGATACATGACAAAAGTTTGACAAGGACTTACGTTGACTTAGCGTCGCTTCCGAGGGCTCATCGAGGTCAGACCGTCTATAGCCGCAGAACTGCCGCTACTGGAGATTGGTATGCATCAAGTCAGGCCTGCAAAACCAGAGTGAACCAAGTATTATTTAGGAAGACTCATCAGAAGTTTTGGGCGGGGGCGAAGTACCGCTAATCGACGGCAGCCTTGCTTCCCTCAGGGTGTTTTGTCGCCCTGGTAGGGTCGCTCATAGAAACGGTTATGCACAAGCCTGTCATAACATTGTTGTAACGTGTAACATAATACTTACGATGGAGGCCTGAGGCCGTACATAATCATCATGATTACTATTTGCCTGAAGCTGACTAAGCAATATGCTTCGCAAGCTAGAACTTGAATGACGCCGCTATCCAGTCACTCCGGAATACATGTTGCAAACATTCGTGAAATCATTCACTCACTTGAAAGACCGCCCACATGCAGATCGAGCCTTGCCTATGCTTCAACGGGTAGCAACTCTAGTAAAACCTATCATGAGGAAACATGGCTGGGTCTTGCCGTTATTGTCTGAATTTTTTCCTGAAAGCCCTAATCTAGTTGGTGAGTTCCTTCCAAGCATCACCTGGGGCTTCTTCATAGGTCACCTATCATGCAGGGCTGAGTGAGCGGCAGACACATTAGCTGCTCAAGCGCTTGCTGACTCATATTTAGATGTGAACGGAGGAGAGCAGATTCTTCTGAGATTGCGCCTTCCATGGGCTCCCGACATCTTTTATGAGGAAGATCAAGTTGTTCGGGTCATGCTCCATGAAGTAAGATAGTCTTTTAACGCGTTCAAGCTACTAATAATACTTCAATATAGCTTACTCATAATGTTCATGGCCCTCACGATGAAACTTTCTACAAGTTTCTAGCTGCACTCGAGGACGAGTATGATGCACTAGTGCGCTCTGGATACGCTGGTGAAGGCTTCTTTTCTCCCGGCCACCGACTGGGCGCAGGGGTATCCCACGACCTTCCGCCAGACTTAGCTAGACTCAAAGCTCTTGAAGCTGCCGAACAGAGGCATCGCGCAAATGGTATACTCGGTTCCGGCGGTAGCAGGCTAGGTGGACGCAGAACCACTGCGCTGCAAGGCATGGATCCTCGTGAACTGGCCGCACAGGTCCTTCTTCGCGTTTTCCGTCTCCTGAAAATATACGTTAATGCTACTTTTCATAGGCTGCCGAGCGCAGAAAGCGTGATGAGATCGAATGTGGGTCGGGTGTACTTGCCCAGCGCGAAGCCGAGAGGGCGGCCAAGGAAAGCATAGAAGACATCATCGACCTTACCGATGATTCCCCTCTAGAACCGTGGTCTTGTCCTGTGTGCACACTCGACAATGAGCCAATTGTGCTACAGTGTGCAGTATGCCTCACTGTCCGTCCTTGGAACTCGCCTAGAACTGCGAGTCAATCACGTGTCGTTGCTGGACCATCGAGGCCACAGGGTAGTACTTCCGGATCAATTTCTGATACACACAAACAGCCCAGAGTCCTTGCAGTGAGGCAGCCAAGCAATGCCAAGGACCCCACGCCTCCTCGCATACCAGCCGAAACCTCAGTTGGTGGTGGGCAATGGGCTTGCACGATTTGCACGCTCATGAACGACCAACGGGTATACAAATGTGCCTTGTGTTTAACAGGGCGTCCTCAAGATCCTCTTTTGGGATGGACTTGTAAAACGTGTGGTGAGGCTGACATACCCCACCAGTTTTGGTCATGTCGATTTTGCGGCGTGGTCAAGACCGAGAGCACTTACGGCTGAAGGGTTTAGTTTTCAGGGGATTCCAGGGCTCCATTTCCCGATCTCTCACGACTGGGGTTACGAATGTAGGACTTTCACTTTGACAGTTATCCTCTCATGTATTGTTGTTTTGGGCTGTGCCCTGTGTAAATATTCTCATCGAACGATGGAGTAATAAAGTGCCTGCTCGCGACTCTGCGAGAGACGTAATTAGTTGTTTGCCAAAAGATAGTCGTGGAATAATTTTTTCTTGAATTCTTGCGTTTGGATCGTGGGCTTTGAAGCTCCTGTCGAATTCGAAGTCCATTTCATTTAACAATTAAAATTTCTCGTTCCGTGGACTAGTAGCTCGATGCCGTTCGAAGAGAAGTACTATTTATACAAGAGCTATCATTAATCACCGAATATAACTTTCAGGTTCTCGAGACTCTCCGGGTCTGCTTTACCCGATTTATCGCTCCCTCGGAACGCCTCTTTGACAATGGCGGTCTTGCGTTTTTGAATCTGGAGTATGCGGCCTTCGATGGTGTGATCGACCTCGGAGAAAGTTTAATAAATATGATGAACAGAGATCAAGACATCCTCACTATAAAGTGTTTGACATAGACAGTTTTCTCCTGGCCTATTCGGTGCACGCGATCGATGGCTGTCAGCAAAGTCAGTACGGTCAACCACAGGTGTACCCAGACGCTAACCTTGATTTTCAGTTGCTGCGTTCCACCAGCAGTCCATCTGAATAGTATTCATCAGCGTGGCACAGGGCGACAAGTTCCGAGGACTCACCATGAAAACGTGGTTGGCAATCGTCAGCTATCGTTTGAAGTAGCGTTCAGGGAATTCAAGAGGCAGATAGCTTGCGCTTACGTTCAGACCAACACCACCTGCTTTCAAACTGACAATGAGAACCTTGGGCTTTCGCTCGTTCTGCTTGAATTCTGATATGGCAGCATTGCGCTTCTTGAGATCCATTGATCCATCAAAACGATACCATGACAGACGTTCACGGTCTAAGGCCACAGAGATAAGTGAAAGGAAGGACGTAAACTGCGAGAAGACAATAGCACGGAAGTATGGGTCTTGATCTCGAAGTCGTCCTGAAAACAATTTAGCTCAGAGTGGAATAGACTATACAAAGGAGCACTTACTGAGGTTTTGTATCAGAGCATCTAGTTTCGTAGACGATCTAAAATCATTTCGGCGCAGGACGACTTCTGATTTCGACGCCCCCTCTTTTTCCTCCCCTGTGGACTCCTGGCATGGGCTATTTCGACCAGACGGCCGGAGAACCTCAATGAGGTCTTGTTCCTTGACTGGTCCTTGTGAGCACGTTGGGCATCGCGGCACTTCTCCCTTATCCGTGCACGTCGCAAGATATGATATAATGCATTCTTTACAGCTGCATTATAATATTAGCATTGGAAGATGAAACGGACAGTGGTATGCGCACCATTGATGCATACAGGGAGGGATGATGGATGGTGTCTGCATCACATCGAGGCAGATCGGGCATTCTGCGTCATTGGACATGTCAAGGTTGGCTAAAACACTCTCAGCATAAACCGCTTTCGAACCACTTGCCGAATCATGCTCTGAAATGTCATTCATCAGGGTGTCCACGTCAATCGCTCCATCTTTGGAGTGTTCAGGAACTTTAGTCTCTATCCCATCGCTAGTATCAGTGACGAGATCTGGATGAAGCACTGCTCGGCGCAGTCTTGGAAAAAAAGAGTTAATAAGTAGGATATGTTAGGTATCGAAGGCCTCTCACCTCATAATCATAGCAAGAATGTGGGTGTAGTTTTTGCCTACGAGCCCTTTCGCATTGAGTTGATCGAAGTTCCGCTTTGCCGCATTGTAAATAGAGTCGTATACTTTTTGTTCTGTAGGTGTAAAGTGCAGCGTATCGACAGTCACCTCCTTTGCAGGTAACTCGACAATGCGTTTGCCAGAGTTATCACGCATGTTCTTCTCGCGTCGGAGAAGAACGCTCTCGAGGATTACTTGCACTATTTCTATTGCCTTTGGATCGCGAGCAAGGAATGGCACAGTAATGAAGCTGGAAAATAGCGTCAGCCTTTGCAATAATGAAAATTGATAAGGGTGGACACATACGAGCGGAAGAATGAGTACGATGACCATGGTGTATACTCCAGGAATTGGCTGACAAGAAATCAGTTAAACTGTTGTATATGTACACTTGTGTCACTCACAGAAGTGAATGGAGGTCCTCGAGTTTATTGACAATGGGAGTTCCTAATCGTGATCTAGCATCTGGATTATGAAAAAAACACCAGTGTAGTTACCTGTTACTGCCCATCTACGTCTAGCGCGAAGGGCATATACAGCTCGTGCGGTCTTACTTGTCCTGGACTTGCAGTGATGAGCTTCGTCCAAAATGACTCGTAGCCACTCCACTTCATAAGTCATTAGTCGGGATATTTTCATTGATCCCTTGGACATACCTTGAAAAATAGAAGATTGACTACCGGACTTGAGGAATTTGGAGTGTTCAGAGGCAAGCACGCCATATGACGTAATAATCACGGTGATAGAGGCATCGTCCATCGAATCATCTTCTATACCACCCAAGTCCAGCCTATTCTGTCCGTGCCAGATACTGACTTTAAGGGTCCCCGGTGCACTCGATCGCTGGAGTTCCTCGTGCCACTGGGAGAGCAGTGAGGTAGGAGCAACAATCAGTGTTGCAGAAGGGCCTTTGGTAGACTTCTTCGTTTGTCTGAGAGCTTTTGACCGAAACGCATTGCCAAGTTTCAGCTGACGAATACGTGCAAGATCCTTAGATGTATCGTCAGGCAGAATAGTTTCTGGATCTCGGTTTGTATGGATGAGAGCTGATAACATAATGGTTTTTCCCATTCCCACTGAGATGAGTGAATCAGTTCTGATCACCGCACAAAGATTTCAGGGACGCACTTTCTGCGTGGTGTGCCAGATTGAAAGATCGTTATTTATGAGCAAGATGACGTCAGATGAGAACTGGACTTTACCATCACTGGCAGGACATAAGTATCTATCGATCAAAGAATGCTTGCTACCCACGCGAGGATCCCTCCTTTGAGTTTGCGTTCGGCTTTAGGAAAGTCAAGACTGAGTTCGCCAGAGTAAGGGTTGAAGTAGAACGGCTTCTCGTCTGCAGTCAGATCGATTATACCATCTTGAGGTTCGGCAGGAAAAGCATACCTATAAGAACGGTTGATCGCTGTTCCTATAGCATAGTTGGGTGACTTACTCGCTCCACAGAGGGTGCATAGACATGGCTTCTCTAGCAGAGATTTCGCCTGATTCCTTGGAATGCATCCACCTTGTACGAGTCAGTATAGGAGAATCAGAAATTCGGTAATATTCTGGCCCACATAAGCGCTTGTTTCTGGTATCCCCTCAGTATTAATGTAAACGTATCAGGAGGATCCATCTCAGCCATCGATTGATCGTGCTTCTGGGCTCTAGAAAACTGTCAACATGATAGCCTGACACCACAAAATGATACCTGCTTCTTGTAGATAACATCCAACTCGTTGTCAGATAGCTCCTCGCCTTCTTCCACTTCGACTTCCTCGCCATCGCCAACAATTTCAATCTTCTTTTTCTTGGCACCGCCGGGATGTTGCGTCAGTTTCTTGTTCATACCATTAGATCCACTTCCCATGTTGCCATTATCTTGGACGTGGGCCCCCCTACAAGGGCGAAGGTTAAGAGCTTCGAAGAGAGAGAGCAGAGCAGATTTGCGTTCTCTGAGAGTTTGTTCATCTTGTGTCTCCTGTCCTTGATTGAACATCGTTGTCGGTGGCCCCTCCGCGGAAGTACTCGGTGGCTTGAATGCAGATGCACGGACATATACAGACAACGAGACTATCAAGTCCGCGCCAGAATGTAGAGTGGCTGGGCAGTCCACCACTGTACTGCCCTTGAAGTCGACAATCCCTGGACGCTGTGGTAAATGCAAGGCTAATTCGCGTGGAAGATAAAGTACCGAAGTCAAGAAGCCTTGAAACCCAAGATGAAACATGCTGTGGAAGACGGCCAAACTCTGGTTGAAATGTATGAGCACCCTTACATCATTTTCAGATGATGCTCACCGAAACCACGGTCATTCGTAAGACGAACTACGGTGTCAGCTTTCTTCATTGCTTTGAGTGGCTGCGATTTTAACATGGCACCAAGGGTGAGTTGCTTCTTCTTGCCGTTATCGGGAAGGGCTTTTTTCTTTCCTTTGCCTGAGACCGGTAGGCCAGATTTAAAATCATCAAGATCATCTCGTTCAATGTGAATGGTGTCGCCTGGTTTGATATAACCTTTGCCTCTGACAGTACTCCAGGCATTCCCAACAAGAAATGATCCAAGATATGTAGAATGAGCAAATGATCCTTGTCCCGTACGCGCCTGAACCTTGGAAGCGGGTGAGAGTCGCCTCTTCTTGGCCGGCGGTTCTTCGACAGAAGGACCTGGCGCCGGTGGAGAACTTCGCAGAGAAGGTCCCGACGACATACTACTGACGCTGGAAGCTCGAGGAACCTCTTCGAAAGAGGGTATCTCCAGGTCGCTTTCGCTGTCATTGGCATTCACGACCAAATCCGAATTAATCGTGATTGGCCTTGGAGTTTGAAAACGTGGAATATCTTCATCGTCACTATCAGCAAAGAACAGACGTTTCTCGTGTGGGGAGTGAGGCGGACCCGATGGCGGAACTAGTTGGTGAGACGCTGGCTGCACTGATTCGCTATGAATCTGAGCCGTCACGGTCGTGGAATTCACGTCGTCTTCCTCATCTTCAGAATCTGCGAAAAAAAGACCATCACGAGGTCGAAAGTCCTGGGTCATGAAAATTCCTTTATGTAGGAAACGAGAGACGGCACCACTCAGGGATGATAGATTCGGCGCCAACGCGAGTCAAATGAGACGCGTCCGAGTTGTTTGGCCATGTTACCGCAAGTAGAATTGGTGGCTGGAACGAATTGTAAATTCTTCCTAATAGCGCTCTTGCCTCATCTATTTTGACCCGCTGTTGTCCTGGAGAGCTGAACTGCCGTGTTTCGCGATGAGACAGACCTGTTCTCACTCCATCCATTCATGTAAACACCTCGTAACCCTTGTGTATTCACAGCTGAACTCAGCCACATGGGAGCGTCTCTCTACTTCTCAAAGTGTATATTCTCGAGACGCTGGAGAAATCAGAGGCAGAGTCCTTTGTTCATCGGATTAGGATAATTTCAATTTCGCTCCTTACCTCGACGTCCATGTCAAGTTGGCTACAGATCCAAACTCTGGTATTATGGGACCCACATTTTTGTCCACCCGCTAGGTTACATTTCATGGATTGTTCAGCGCACTCTTCCGATGTCCCCACTTGCAAGGCCTGCAATATTGCATTTACCAGTGGATGCCGTGAACATTGACGTTGATCCTACAGCCAAATCATTTCAACATCCTACTCCGTCGGGAACCTGCTCAAGATGCTGAAGCTGTTGCTCGCATGATCTTCCATATGCTCCCTTGTGTCGACCACGTTGTCTGCCATGGGGATCCGCCGTAGGCCGAAGTGAATCGACAGTTCGATTTGTTCGTGGTACATGGCGACGGCGATGCAGATCAAATATCTCATTCGGTTTCACTATTCCACTAGTTGTGGTCGGTGCAGTAAATAGGCTCAAAAGAGGATGTGACACTGGCCCTTATGTGAACGGAAGGAATTAATTCGAGACTTCCCGCTGCTACAAGTATATCATTAATGACCGGAATCCGTAGTCCTTGTTGAAGCATGATCGGCGATTTTGAAAGGAGATTCTAAGCCTCTTCATGAACTTGAAGAAGGAGGACCTAGTGCCGGCAATAATTGCAGCAAAGTTACATAGGGAGGAACTCGCCGTCCCGCTGGAAGGCCCAGGTGGGTGGAGGTCATCGCTGATTATGCCGTAACTTGAAATTGTCACTTGCAAAGGACTTTCGAACGCGTCAGAATTGCGTGTAGCTCTTCTAGTACATCCTATTCAAATGATCTTTTTGGACGGTCTGTGCAAAAATTCTAGGAACTCAAAGCAGAATTTTATGCGCTGTTGTTCACAGCTCTGAGCGTTTACAACTGGATGGAAAAGACGATACAACAAACGCGCTAGCCAAACAAGTACAAACTGCAGATGCAATATTACTACTGACATAAGTATTCTTGCCATCGTCTTGCGCGATCTACTGGCACAAAATGCAGCGCGGCCTACCGATGGTACGTCCTTTCCGTGCATGCTATTTATCATAATTGATCCTTGGTTTTAGCAACCTACTGTCGTACTCCTTCGGGAGGGCACAGACACGTCTCAAGGAAATCCACAACTTTTGTCCAACATATCCGCGTGTCTTGCCATATCCGAGACACTCTCCAGCACGCTTGGTCCGCGTGGAATGGACAAGCTGATCGTGAATGAACGTGGTGAAGCCCAGATCACCAATGACGGCGCAACAATCTTAAAGCTTCTCGACATCGTTCATCCGGCTGCTAGGACCCTCGTCGACATCGCACGTGCCCAGGATGCAGAAGTCGGCGATGGAACCACCAGTGTAGTACTTTTGGCTGCACAGTTGCTCAAAGAAGTTCGTGGATACATCGAGGAGGGTGTCAGCCCGCACATCATCATGAAGGGATTCAGGAAGGCGTCACAACTGGTACGTAACACATGTTGCTCAGCGATATCGTTTGAAAATAATGATATCGACAATCAATAGGCTGAAGAACACATCAAGGCAATTCAGATTAGTGTTGATAAGTCCGATCCTGAGTATGTCTCGGATTTTTAGAATGACAGTCCCTAATACTTCTTCAGGCAATTCCGATCTCTTCTACTCAAATGCGCAGCGACGTCAATGTCGTCAAAATTGATTCATTCGGAAAAACCATTCTTCTCGAAGATGGTCGTTGACGCTGTTCAGAGCCTGGATCCAAACGACTTGGACGAGTCACTCATTGGGGTAAAAAAGATTCCAGGAGGTGGCATGCAGGACTCCCTGCTGATCCGTGGCGTTGCTTTCAAAAAAACTTTCACGTATGCAGGTGCTGAGCAACAGCCGAAGTCCTTCCGGGACCCTCTCATTCTCAGCTTGAACGTCGAACTTGAGTTGAAAGCTGAGAAGGACAATGCCGAGGTTCGAGTGGAGGCGGTGAAGGACTACCAGGCGATCGTTGATGCAGAGTGGGAGATCATTTACAGGAAGTTGGACGCGATCGAGAAGACTGGTGCCAAAGTCGTGTTGAGTAAATTGCCGATCGGAGATCTGGCCACTCAGTGGTTTGCCGACCGGGACATCTTCTGTGCTGGTCGTGTACCGGCTGCTGATCTCCGCAGAGTGTGTCAAGCAGTAGGAGGTTCCGTGCAGTCAACGTGCTCAGACATAGCTCGAGAGCATCTCGGCACTTGTGGTCGGTTCGAAGAGCGTCAGGTTGGTGGCGAACGCTACAATATCTTCGAGGAGTGCCCCAAAGCACAGACATGCACACTACTTCTTCGTGGTGGCGCAGAACAGTTCATCGAAGAAGTGGACCGTAGTCTACATGACGCCGTCATGGTTGTTAAGCGAGCAATCCGTAATGGTGAGGTGGTGGCCGGAGGCGGAGCTGTTGAGGTGACTTATGGCTCGTTATACTGTTATAATCTCCTCTCTAACCTTGTGGATCAGATGGATTTATCCGCGCACATTCGGAAGCATGCGCTGTCGATTCCTGGCAAGCAGCAACTGATTTTGACGGCTTTTGCAAAAGCACTAGAAATCATTCCTCGACAAATCTGTGACAATGCCGGTCTGGACTCTACTGACATTCTTAACAAACTGCGCATGCGACATGCTGCAGGCCACAAATGGTTCGGAGTGGACGTTGACGGTCCGGAAGGTGTCCGTGACAACATGGATGCATTCGTCTGGGAGCCTCCACTCGTCAAGTTGAACGCAATCAGCAGTGCAACCGAGGCTGCATGCCTCATCCTTAGTGTTGATGAGACAGTAAGAAATCCACAAAGCGAGGCAGTACGTAGGCTCTTATAATTCTCTTTCCAAAAACTGAAAATCTCTTTCAGCAAAACCCAGGGCCAAAAGCACCACCTGGTGCAGCAGCTCGTGCTCTCCGGGGCAGGGGTAGGGGCATGCCAAGGCGATGAAGGAGACGGCTTCGCCGGCAAAAAAATAGAAGAAATGACTTGATAATGACACGTACTGTATCATTTGTTTTTAGCGTTCAAGTGCTAATCGAGGTACTTGCAATATTGATATCAGCCTGATTTTTCGTTACAGCTGTTTGCGGAAGTAATGGCAATGGACAAAATTTTCACGTGGGTCTGACCAAAGGAAATCATGTCGCGTCCTCAGCGGACATCATTCCTTGCAATTCCTAGAACGTGCCCAACGCTTTTCAACCATACGACAGTTTTATCTCGCGTCAGAACCTGCAGTGAATGAATTGCACGATGATGAACGATTTTCTTTGGCTAACTATTTTACGACCTCTCGTTGTATAGGCGTTGTATAGGCAATCTTAGGAAGCTCGAGTGTGAGCCCATACCAGAAATCAGAGCTAATGGCCGCTTGTTGATGTTCACCCATACGATTGCAAAGCTCCTTCTAGACATTGGCAAATGTTTTAACTAGATGTATTGGCAGTATATCACATGTATCGTGTGTTATGCGAAATGATTAGAGGGATAGATCAATGTAAGGACGTTGAAATAATTGAAGGAGTGACGATAGTATGATACACAATGATGGCGTGGCGATATACAAGTCGAAAGACAACCGAAAGCATAACCGAAATTAGCAGACTGGTACCAGCTTGTTAGAAATCACTGTCAGGTTTTCTCAGCATCGAATACTGGCACCTGTGCGGCTATGGCGAACTACTTGGCTTTCAAAGCCAGCTTTCTAACCACTAGGACTGCAAGGTCCTGTCGGCGTAACGTGTGAGAGAATGAACGTAATCATAACAAGGCTAGCCAAACGCACGATGATCAAAGTGGTCAAGCTGAGGCGCCTGACGCGAGGCTTAACATCGTTGGCCTCAGCAACTTCGACGGCTTCCTGCACATTCTCAACATCAGGATGCTGCTCCTCATGAAGGTCAGAATGGAGGTCAGACTGCATTTTGAGAGTAAGTCAGGGTACAAGAAGATGTAAGCAAATGCGTACAAAGTCGAGAATTGCCGGTCTAGCATTGTCGTCCTCTTCAACAACGTCGTACAGATTGCTGAGGCGATCATCTATAGTGTTCTTCATAAAAAATGTGAAAAATGGCGATCCAATGAGCTTCGCATGGCTCACCATCAGGCTCTCGTGTTGGCTTAACTTTACCCTTGGGTAAGGGTGGAAGCGAAGTAAGTGAGAAGTCCTGTAGCTGGGCAGCCTCATGTTACTTGTCGAAGGCTGGCTCATTACAAGGGAGAATGAAGGGAAAGGAATGTCGCGTATCCTGCGTGAAGGCATTGAGGTTTAAATACCAACGGGATTTTGAGGGAAGGAGCGTGAAAATAAATTGAGAGCCAGGGACTAGAACCCCAAAATCGCAATTCCGACAGGGTTGAGTTGATATCCCCAAATTCGCAATCCCGACAGGCTGAGTTGGTTCCGAATACATGGTGAGCGCCTATCCCAGTGCGGCACTTGTGAATCTCGAGATATTGGTACAAAATTTGCTTCCGCGGAACAACTCTCTTTAACATCTTTATGGGCGACCCCAATCCAGAACAAATCATCATCGATGGGCAAAACGAGACACGGGACGGCGCAAGAGGGACAGCACGGCGGCCATGGTTGGGTACCAGATTGCTCTATCGAAATTGCGGACCGCCATCGCAACAAGCAATCATGCATGACACTCAACATGCCGGATGCTTGCATGTTCAAGCTCCATAATACACAACGAGCTTTGACGACCTAAGCTTCTTATGTGCTGCTTAGAGCACCATAAGAATGCTGCGCGAGCCAGACGTGTCCCTGCTTGGAAAAGAGTCAGTACAAACGAGGCTCAACTGCGAGGACTCTGTTATAGGGAACTCTGTTGTATGGTACACGGTATATCTCCAAAAATACGCTGATAGACCATCCTGAGCGACTGCATCCTTTGGACACGCCTGAAAAACTCTCAATGCCGAGCGACGCCTTCAGCGAGGACAGCGTGACATAGCTGTGTGACCCAAAAAGGGGCGTCACGCTAATTCGTGTGCACGAGCCAAGGCAAGTTCGCAACCGCCATCATAAAATATGAAAGCGACTCAGCAGTGTGCCCTCAAGCCCTCAAGCAGCATTAGTGTGAGTCAAGATAGTCACTGTGGCTGCATCAAGACCACCGAAAACCTCAACTGGCGCAACCGCCTCCATCAACATTGACAAGTGGTCACCACTACCACTCTAGTTATGATATGCCCCAGAACCAAAACATGGTTAGAGTGAACAAGACACTCACCAGTGACTATGATTCGGCCTAGTGCCCCCCACATGCATCGTAAGCTGCCTCAAATCTACACAATTTTCCGTGCACCCAGATGTGAAGAATGTCGAACCGAATGATCCAACATAAGAAGTGCTGTCAAGATGCAGAAACAATGAAGGTCACCAGCCCCGTTGCTGGCGAGAGAAGTGCGATTTTTCACCGTCGTGTTGTCGAGTTCTTGCCTTCAACAAATAAATTGGCGATGCTGAGCTGTGACCAAGTCAACATAAAGTGGCGCCAAGCTGTCTTGCATGCCCCCGCGGGTGACACAATTCATCATAGGCGACTCCAGTTTGCGAGGGATCCATGGGTGCGACAATAGGGATCGAAGCCGTTCATATCATTCTTCAGGGTCAACCATCCAAGAAATTTGATTGCGAAGAGCCCTCTTGCATTGCGCTTGAGTGGTTAAAGTTGAACTATCGGGGTTTCGTTTTTTGAGGGACCAGTCACAGTGGTTGGTGGGTGATTTGTGGGCGCCAGCTTTTTGTTTGGTCCACAAGTTTGAAATCGAAAATGACTTTGCATTCTAGTGCCAGGGTGGTGGTCGCAACTCCGCTCGCTAATTCAAGGCAAAATTCTTGTAACTCCCCCTTGGTTTTCAGTTGAAACTTGAAAAGATTGATTTTTTTTCTCCTCAGGCGAGAGAATTAATATATCGGAGTTCTCGTTTCGACCATTTCACCTGCATGAATATGTCGGGCAATAGGACGACCAGGGTTTGGCCCTGCCTTGCTCCGTGGCAGGTCGTTCTATTTTGTGCACTCCCATTTATTGCGAACATAGTACCCTACTGTTTCTCTCACACCGATCCAAACCCACAATCACTGAATGCGATGAGTGAACACCATAGGCTAGATATCGATCATCCTCCAGATCCAGCCGGGCAAATGTTGCTGAAAGCTCGTTGGTACGTGGTCTCTTGAAATCCATCCCTGCCCTTATGCATCATTCTTCCAGAACCAACCTCGTAGAGGACTCTGTCAGCCCTGCAGAAATTGAAGAATGGGTTAATTAAAGAACTTCCTGTGCGCAAACGTAAATGCTGATCGTCCTGAATACGGCTGAGATTGTGTAGAAACGCTCTAAGGAAATACGCAACTCGCACTACTGTGGTCCAGAACGGCAAAATTGAAGGGGCTTCATCGAGTTAGAAAGCCGAGGTAGGACCTCGAACTTGCTTTCCTGGTCCTTCGGTTTTCTCAGAAGCCTCTCCAGTCCTCCAACGACAACAAGCATTTCACCATATGTGAGATTCCCAGTGACTTAATGAAGCAAAGGCTGTCCGGAGAGCCTGCTTCTCAGGTATTTCCGTCAAAACCCTTCGACTTTCTTCTCTAATTTTGGTGGTCCTGCAGATTTAGGCTGCTCCTTCTGGTGAGGAGGAAGGACTTGATCTCCAGTCAGTTGACGCTGGACCTGAGGGTACCAGTGATGGTACACAAAGCATGAGATTACTCGGGAAACATGTGACTTCTGCGACAATGACCCAGTGGGTCCTGCTGCCACAGATGATTCGTATCTCCAAACCCTAAAGATTATCGGTGGTGTCTGACAAGATCACAGATGTATGTGCCAATCTTGTTTATTTGAAGCGATCTAAACAAATTGTATAGGTACATCGGTACGGCTGGGTGTGCTGTCAACTGCATCCAACGTATGATTGGTCTCTCTCAGAGTTCAGTCTCATACTCAGAACGTTCGAATTCCATGTAGAGTTGTTCACGCGGAGCGCAACAAATCGATTCTTAGTTTTCTCAAGAAATTAGCCGCTTCGTGACTCGAGATGACAGTCTTGACAAAATTGAATCGATGCGTGCTATCGTTAGAAAGATCTTGAGTGTGCCCGTTTTATCAAGGACTATGAGCTTTTGTGAGTCACCGTGCTATCGTGCTTCGTATATGAATCTTATGCTATTATTATAGGGAAGAGACTCAGAAAAACCTTTTCTCGCAAATTGCTGCCATCATCAGTTGGATGTCTTGTGCAACATTGCGGGACCAAGTTGATCGAGACATAGCCGTCTACGCTCAACCTATGGATAAAAATTCTGATACGCTTCTGTCTTCATATCCATTCACCTGTCTCGGGCGATACCCTGGATCTCGGGGATATCAGCAGGATTAAATACAATGGAACAATACCTACCAGGGATGCGCACGAAGATTCTTCCGCTTTGCCCAACCCCGCTGACTCGCTCGAACTCCTCATTATTCTAATTCAACCTGCAGCCTGATGGATAGATGATGGAACTCGATCATTGACTCCTTTTCTGCGTGCCTCCCGCCTCCCGACATTCATCTTATACTCCTTGAACTTCATTGGTAATACCCATTTTGAGCTTGATTTGAGCCGCATGGCACATAGCACGCGCTGGTCGAGTTGCCGAGATCTGTAAGTTCTTGGTCTTCACCATGCGTCATCGCAGTTGCTAACATCAATCCTGCTAGCTCCACGTAACCATTGTATTGTTGCAAGATCGAGTGTACCATTTGATTCTTTCATTCCCCGTCAATTTTATACCTAACGCCGATTCTGAATTTACGGTTGTCTGACTGAACGCATCGATGTGCCGAAAAGCAGACTGGACAAAATTCAAATGGGGATGGCAGATCGCGGCTCGAAATATCATTTGATCCGGGCATGATCTGAGATCTTCAGTCAATGAATGTTGCGAAATATACAGACAAGGGGGAGAAGCTAAGCGACACGTCCGATAACGCTCATCGTCTTTTTTTCAGAGGAGGAAAAGCGAATAGCCCAAGGGTGCGTGTCATACGTAGGCCTAGGGTGATCGAGTGGGAAATGATCTGGAATGCGATCCAGGATGACAGCCAAATTCAGAAACCAACCACAAAGTCCCGAGACCCATTTGGATAGAAGATGTTGTTCCGTCAAAAAATCTTGATCGCTCGCGGAGTTGTGCTACCCGCATCCACTAGGAAGTGTAGAAAGTGAAATGTGCAACCAAGAAAGACCGAGAAACGAAGGAAAGGCACCTGCTGGAAATGGACAAAATTATATTGATTTCACAGCTTCAGCCACACGCGGAGGTGGTGGGTGAAATCTACAGTTGAATGGCAAGAAATGTTGGGAGAAATGAAGATTTGTGTTTGATAGCGTTCTTCCACTCACTATGGTGATGTAACGTGACAACTTGCCAAGTTTCCAGAATGATTGTGGCGCAATTGTATATCCTTATTTACCAACAGCTTGTCGTCCTCCAATAGCCCCTCCAAGGTTTGAACCAAGTCTGCAAGTTATTTGTCCACGCCTCTTCGAACACGGACCTGTAACCTCACAGGCCCGATGACATACATTGTGTTTACTACAGGAACAATATTGCGCTGCAGAACGGGACTTCCAGTGTCAGAGGGCATGATTAATGATTGTTTCGCAACCGGGAAGCCAGTAACCGTAGGCATATTGGAATGTGCCGTGGCGCAGCGGATGGCCAACTGACAATTGTTACTATATGATCAATGTCGATCTATGAAATTAATCACAGCTTCCCGTTCCGCGCTCACTGTGACACTTCCTGTGGACGACTCATTGATGCCATTCTGGTTATCAATACTGCGACAACAATTTTATCGTATTTTGTAAGAGTGTGAACGACACGGAGATATTCAGTTATCTTATTTACGACTTTTGTTTTACCTACAGGCTTTTCGGTCAAGGGAGTCAAGTATAGCATCGCACTGGAAGGTAAGTTATGCACAAACTTCAGCGCTCTGATTGTCATTCTCTTGTCCACAGGCGTCTTCGGATAATCAAGCTCGGTCCAATCGATTGCCCGATGCTATTACTCTCTCCCATCTCTGCTATGCTGCCAGCTTCCTGGTATAAAGCAGTCGAAGGAATGACAATGATCCTCCAGCATTCTTTGGCGACTTCCTTGTGACCTCTTTGAATTATCACCAATGCCAAACGCAGAACGTATGCTCTGAGACAAGTACATTATCCTTGTCACGGCTGACTATTTTGTAGAGAACAGAATGGGGTTGAATAACCTCTTGCAACAACGATATGGCTCGAGCGCTGCTTCTCGCTTGCGATGGGAAAGCGTCAAATATGGCAATGATAATAATCCTACTTGGACTTTCATTGTTTATAGTATGTGCTCATTTTTGGCCTGGTTTTTTTCTCACATTTTTGGGTGTATACTTAGTTGATGGTATTGAGTACGGGCGAGGTTCTGGCAGTGACAAAGGGTCTGCGAAGGAGATGGCTGCAGGAGTTGCCCTTACGCAGCTTCGAAGGCAGTGGGCTCATCTGTTGCTCTAGCTGCTGTTGGAAACTAGGCCAAATGGATTAGACTCGGTCGAGCAAACATCAAACCGAGAAGTTGCGAGCGCATTCGGGCAACGTCCGACTCGTTTACGTCGGCCTAGATCCACAATATCTCAAGTGTCATTCCCTTCACTACGATAATTTTTATATCACTATCCTGATTTCGTCAAAAGACACGAGTCTATTCGTAGGAGCATCTCGAGTGTCCTTCTCCCCTAGAATATTAATATATTGGTTATCAGCTCATACCTCGCGACTTCGTTCTGAATCCAGGAGTGGCGTACAAGAAATACTTCTTGTTTTCGCAGTTCTTTAAATACCTTACTCCATCCAACTTACCTCAACTTACCCTCCTGTAATTTTGACCATGGAGCCCGGGGGAAAGGTACGGCGTTGTCGTACAGTTTTATATATTTCTACTCCGGATTCTTTCGTCCGAAGTTCCTGCCAGGAGTTTGGCCTGCAAAGCACGTTCGGCAGATTGCTTGAGTGCCGGTATATAGATCAGTTACCGCTTCAAATGTCAGCTTGGAGTGTGTATTTAAATCTGAACGAATGAACGACGTCGGAATACGTAATTTTGAATGCGATCGCTAACACCGCCAAACCATTCACATTCCATCCACCAACACTCTATTAATTCAGATCTAGGCCCACACGTGCATGCCTACGAACTTCGGATTCTACTGCGTACTACGCCTAAAAATTGATATCCTTTCATGAACAGCGACGTTTAGGCCACCAGAAAGCATTGGCATATAGGTGCGAATAAGGACACCGCTCACATCAGTATCAATCAAATTCTTGTATGTATTGTCCTTCCAGACTTGATACTATCATGTTGATATCCCTTAGCTATTCAAATACCATGTAACAACGTGGTATCAAGGTGCTTCGTGTGTGGTGCATCTTTCTACACCTGCCATTAGTCTATTCCACCTGCGGACTGGCAGCCGGCAACTAATATTTTGCGAGAAACCTTCCACCACAGGGCTTTTCATAAACCCTGGATAGGAAAAGCGTAGTTAGTGCGTGAAACTTGTTTTTATCTATCTATACAGCTTGGCAGGTTGGCATGTGTTCTAGCGCCATATATGAAATCCCGAAGGCGCAAAAAGCTAGCATTGGGCAGCGTCTGCCTATGAGAAAAAGCAATCCTTCTAAATCTGCCACTTTTCACCTGGATATGATCAACAGTATCGAGCGCGTGCTTGTTGACAATCATTTTCTCCACCTCCACAGGGGAACCGGGGATTGCGTGAGGCCGCGATGAGCTTGCCAATGACCCTGCCAACGACCAAATTCGTGCGAGTCTGGCTGCCAACCTTACTTGCGTTTACAGCCACCAGGCCAGCTTGATGAGGTGTGCACACTCTGCAGATATAGATATAAAGGGGGAGATGTTGATTCAGCTCATTCTCATTCTCCAAGACTTGGAAGTCCTACACACTTTCTATCTTTTGCAACACTCTTACCCAAATCATAGCAGCGATGTCTAATGATGACCGTACGTTTATTCATCTGTTGGACATGCAGGATGTGCCCGCTCATTGCCCTCCAGACCCGCGCACGGATTTGAACAACGAATTACAGCGGGTTTATGGACCATTTGTATCCCACCATGTCAGGTGGGAGGTTTACTCGCGAGGTCCCGCAAACGCATTGACGTGGTATGCAACTGTCTACAGTAAGGTTGACTTCTAGTCAAAGATGTTGTACACTAACCAATATGTCACGCAGTTAATGATATGAATTACGGCACCGCTTCGTCGCACAACAAAAGTGGAGCTCAGGACGACGCTGCGAGACAAGCACGTGATAACTGGAGACGTGAAAGGTCCAACCAATAAAGCGTGACCGCTGCAATACGCATATGCCATCCTCTCCAGATATCTAGCTACTTCTATTACTCGGTCGTGATACAGTGCTGTATATACTACTAGAAGTGCGCCTGTAGCGGTCCCCTTTCTTCCGTGATACACCGATAGCCTGTTGTGCCTTCTTTCCCATAGTACACGTCCCGGCCAAGCACTGGTTCTTAATACGCTTGATTCCCTGTACAAGCAGACCGAAGTATTTAGGGGTAAAAGCTAAACCTGGAAAGCACGTGATCATGATGCGGCCACTTGTCTGATGTTCTAACTCCAAGGATGATAGCGTAATGGTTGGTGTTATATGCAATCTTTCATGTTATCTCTGCCGCCGATATCAATTTGCTTTCATTACAATGTCCTCTGATACTCAGGCTCAAAGATAACTCAATCCACCTCCGAGTCCGAGTCACAACCTCTCACACTCAATAGCAGACAGCAAGGCCAATAGTAAACGGCAGACACAAACGAACAACTGTAGCGCACCCCACAACTTCGCAAAGCCCAACTTGAACAGCACCAGAAGTCCACCACAACTCATATGTGGCATGTGGGAAATATTGGCAGGACCGGGCATGAACACCGACTCAGAATCATAAACTGACGCCTGTCGTTGCCTTGAGGAATTCTCTTATCTAGTATCATTTCTATTGGAAACACTCATACGCAAATTCTAGCAGTAATGTCTAGCAATTCCTCGGACCGTACGTCCTCTATTATTTGTTCGATATGCAGGATGTGTGCTCATCGACCTTCAGACCCCCGCACGAGATTGAACAACGAATTACAGAGGATTTATGGTCCATCTGCATCTGACCATGTCAGGTGGGAGGTCTATCCGCAAGGTCCTCCCAACGCTTTAACATGGTATGCGACCATCTACAGTACGTTTTGCCTGCAGGAGAGTCAAGGATGCAGATGCTAACATATCATATACAGTCGATGATCTGAATTACAGCTACGCTTCGGCTCCCACCAGAGGTGCCGCTCAGGATGCGGCTGCGCAGCAGGCTTGTGAAAATTTGAAACGAGATAGATCTACCAGAAGCGACTTATGAATTACACCCATCAAGCCTAAAGCATGGCGACTTGAATTCAGTACTGTACATCTATTGTACATAGTTCTATTCCTCATACATACATTTTGCAACCACCGTGCAGTTGTAACACAGTGCTGCTCATGTGAGCAATGCGTTTGTGGATCGATCGACCGATGTGTATCAACTGCAGGTCAGTAGCGCGCCATCGGTTTACTATCACGAGTAACCTTCGACAGTAGTTAGCTGCAATTTATTTTGACAACTTGTCAAGACTATAGAGCGTCTCGTGATAAATTCATATGATAATGAAAAGCGGACAAGTAGCACATGCAAATCATGACCGTCGCACTATATTATTGGTCGTATGTATAAAATAGATCTACAAATCAAACGAATGCCCATGTCAATGACGGAAAGAGAACGATGTCCCACGTCAATTGGCCATCCATTGGCGGTCTTTTCTTCGAGATCGAACCTTCGCCCTGCGCTCGCTCTCCTTGACACGGCGCTCCTGCTCTTTGACATCTACGAACATGTTGCCAACATCAACGAATTTGATTGCTGGGCGTCCAGGACGTTCGACGATAGTCGCCTTTGTCTTGTTCTCAGAAATAGCACTGGCTGATTTGGTGGCAGCATCCAAAATGCCTGGCATGACTGGGTCCTAGTGAATACATTAGCTCACCTGTATATCAAAAGAAAAATAGACAAACCTTGCCCTCAGGCACGGTCTCCCAAAACATCCGCTGGTATCTTTGTCGCGCCCAGTCGAAGCCACCGGCTTCTTCGTCTTCTCGATCAGCCTCCACTGCGTCGTACCTATCACTATCTGTTTTGACCATCTGCTTGTTGGTATCGTACTGCACGGGCACAGGCTTCGATTCCAAGGTGGTAAAAACCTTGGTTTGAGGCACGCCAAGAATACTCTCCATGCCTTGTACAAAACCTGTCTGTACGGATTTACCCTGCAAGAGGTGTGAGTGCTGAGGTTACAAAGGTGCAACGCATGAACTCAGATAAGGTCGAAATGTGGAACCACCAGAAGATGTAAGGCGCTTGAACTGTCCGATTTTTCAAAGAAAGGAAATTGTTACTCACATCCTGCACGTAGTGATGCAATTTTTGGTTGGGAGTCAGTGAGCTGCTCTTCATTGTAATAGTTACAATTTACCTGGGGGAGGTGTAAGCTTAGTTAGTATTTTTCAACATGAAGTGGCAGTAGAAGGAAGATGTAGATCAGTAAGGTGCGTAGATTTAACCATGTATGTGTCTATAAGACTAATCGAATTCACGTTGCTCATCACGTTTTTAAGAAAGGAGGGAAATAACGAGTTCTCACCTTTTTCCACGATTCTTCTAAACCTTTCAGTCGCAGAATGGCATCAATACGTTTGATGCTGAGATGATGTTTGGCAGCCAGAGCGCGTACCGAATTAGCCTCGGGATCAGCCATGTAAGAAAAATAGATATGAGTGCGTAAAGCATCCGAAACAGGTGGAGGGGGACGGAATGATTGGTTGAGAGGAAATGGCTATCAAATAATCAGCATCATCATCATCGTGGTTCTACCCTGAGCGTACCGTTCCAGAGCTAAGCCAATTCCGTGGCGCGGGATCACGGTACTTGTGACCGGCACCTGCTATCCAGTCTTCGTATGAAGGAGTTCGAGAGGTTTCGGCATCGCCTGGTAGGTTGAGGCCCTCTAGAATAGCCTCGCCAATGGCATCATCTTCGGCGTCCGCCTCCAAAAATTCATCCTTTCTTGCGACGAAAGACTGGAAGAATGTTCTACGCGGACATCTGCTTACAGATGGTAAATGCAAGGTGCGCTGAGGTGATGAAGCTAATATACGCAAACGAGTGAACATTTGGGCACAGAACGCGCAAAAAATTTGAGGCATTTCTGGTCGACATCACGTGAGTACTCTAGGGCAGGTCTCAGTTTCAGCCTGCAGGGCAGCCTCTTCACGTTTATCAGATGATTGACGATGTCTATGATATTCACCAACGGTGTATGCTATGGAAATGACAACGGACTGTTAGCTTTACTGAAGGGATATTCTGCATTGATTCCTCCACTCCATCTTAAATTTCCTGTTCAATGTTCATTTACTGAGGTACACACTTTTCTTTTACACCAGGTTTTGCTCGACCAGCACTTGGAGCAGTATCCACCTTCTGGGAGATACCAGCATTCATTTTGGAAGTGGGCAATTGAACACCTCGAACGAATGGACAAAGACTCGGACGAAGAGGTTAGCTATGGCAGTACAACCCAGCTGAGAAGGCAACTCATTCACAATTGCACATAAAGGACGGCGAGATCGACACACGAATTTATGACCGTTATTTATTCCTTATGTCGGGTTCAATGTAGGTTTATCTTCCACGAGAATGTTGTGAGAATGTACCTCTAATAATCATTCCCTACTACACAGCGGTCCTGGTGCTCCCCCACCGGACTCATATATGACATATTACTGGAAGCCTTCAAGTTCACTTGGTTCTGCCAATAGAAACAGTCACGAGACCATAACATTACTCGAGTCTCGCACCACCATCGAGAGCGGAACGACAGGGCTTAGGACCTGGTATGCAAGCTTCGTCCTTGCCAGTTATCTCATTGTGAATGCCGGTATGGTAGACACAATGTGCTATTCCTTGACCTTCATATTTTTTTTATGCAACTAGACATTATTCGTGATCAAACGGTCCTCGAGCTTGGTTGCGGATCTGGTTTTCTTGGGATTATTGTGGCGACAATACAACAAAAATTTAACGAGCGTCATCAATCACGTCGTCAGCCGTTGCCTGCAGTACTGCTGACTGATGTGAATGCCGCAGTGCTTTCAAGGTGTCGCGACAATATCCAACTTCGTTGCAGTAAGTGACCCCAGTTAACATTCAGAACGTTCATTTTTGTAGCTCTTTGACGGATAAGTCAGGTTAATGTACTCGGCCTCGCACCTTTTCAGTTTTCTTTTTTTTCTGTCTTGGTTGCCTCGGTCAACTCATACCGTATTTTGAACGTGCTGTCCTTGCTTACCACTGTCGCGTAGATCAGTCATCAAATCACCCAAATATCACCTTCTCCACTCTTGACTGGTTCGATGCCCTTTCCCTACCCGGTGAGAACGTGATGAAAGCATTTTTATCCAAAGCGAACGTGGGCGTTGTGATTGGTGCTGATGTAGTAAGATTCAAATTTGCCGCTACGTGACTGCCACTAACCTAGCCAGGTATTTGACCCAATTCTGGTCCCACCTCTAGTTGCAACATTGCGCCTTGCACTTTCCTTCGAGAGCACTCGAATGGTAGTGGTGGCGCTAACAGTCAGAAATGAGCAGACTCTTGCGCATTTTGTGACAGAGGCCGGTGAGCAGTCCTCGACCTTTGTCGTGTGGTGAATCTAATATTCAAGTCATCTAGTAAAAGAACTTCGTGTGGAGGAAGTGCCTCACACTTTCACCTCAGCTACATACTTTGATCTGGATACCGCTGGAGTGGATACTGGTCTTGATGTGAAGATATTCAAATTCACGCTCCGCAACTCGGCGTCATAATTAAATGCGCGTTGTATTCTACAAAAGAGTTACTCTCGGATAACACCATTCGACCTTCACTCACTCGGCCAGTCATACAATGTCACGTAGTAGTCTCCTAGGGCAACTACATACATGATTTAGCTGGTGACAGACCAACGCTCTGTTACACCCCAAGCTCTATCCATTGCACACGTGCAACCAACTCCCACCTAAAGTGAGCTCAGAACACCACGTTGTCATACATGGTTCAAGTGCCCACGTAGCTTTACCCAGATCCGGGTTACCTGATTGCGAAATCATTCAACGGGATCTTGTATCTTTGTCCGCTTGGCGTTAAGACCTTGAACATCCTGACCCAACTTAAGCACCGAACCAAGTTGAATGCGGCCTGTTTGAGCAAAATGAGACAAACAACGATGATAATGTATACTGTAGTTCATAATCGCATCAAGGATATTTACAAATTGCGAGTCCTGGAGGGATGGATGCACCGATATATATATATATTTCCTTTTTTTTTGAATCCAACTTATGTCCTTCGGAGAGTAGCGCTTTGTGCAGGACAGTACGTTCCAGTCCAAGGGACGCCTGGCGTCCTGATCGCATTGTTGGGTGCGCGAATGTCTTGGTGCGATGCATGCCCCCACCAGTCCACCGTTCCCGCACCTATATTGTTTTTTTTCGTTGGGAACTAGTCCTTCGTCTCTCTAGGAATCAAAGTTTCTCATGAATAATGCTGCATCAGGCGCCTGAGCTCTGATTCCGGAATCCTAGTCTCGAACTCGATTGGGCACCGCGGGGTATCCAACGCCACCCCAGTCATGAATCCCATGTCATTTAACGGCTTCGTAGGATCCAGAGTGAGCTTGAAGGCCCATAAGATGAGGAGCGAGTTGATAAACATCGATCTGTGTGGACCAAAGTGAGTTGGGAAGACGATGTGCGTGAAGGGGTAGCTTTACCTGTTCGCGACATGTTGGCCGGGGCATACGCTGAAAGTGATGTCATGAGTCAATGAATGAATAGTTGCAAGGCGGTGCTCACCGCCGACCAAAGCCAAAGAGGACGAATTTCAGATCGTCTCTCAGGCGACCTTGGTCGTCAATCCAGCGCTGAGGCTTGAACGACTCAGGCTCTGGGTAGACGTCAGGATCACGAGAGATCGACCTAAGACAATGACCGTCAGATCCCTTGGTATCTCGAGGCACGATGCTTACCAATGGTCGCCATATAACGTAGTCCCAGCTGGAATGCAATATTTTTCCTGATGGGCCGTATCACGATTCGTGCAATAAGCTGTTAAAGATTACTTGCCCATATCACGTCGTGAGTTGTCCGGTGAGCCAATGCTGCGGTATTAATTTTGTGAGTTATGTCTAGGAACCAAACGAGAAGATACCCACCACCCGTAGGCAAGATTGGTCTCCATCTTAAAGCCTCAGAGATAAATGCTTGCAGGCGAGGAAGGGATTCTTTGTCGGCGAACGTCGGCGCTTTAGTGCAAAAGATATTAAATAATAGCACTGCAATAGTGAGTCAAAGCTACCTTGGTGCCTTCCGGTGACTGCATCGAGTTCAGCCTGAACTTTGGCTTGCTCCTCGGGGAAACATGCAGCTGCCAAGAGTACTGTGCATATTGCCGCAGAAGTCTCCCGCCTTATTTCAGCCAAATATATTTGGAGGCAACAAGACAGCACATTACCGTGCTGGTACCAGCTCCAAAGAAGACACCACCAAGAAAGGCCATCTCGGTCTCTGTCAAACCATGGAGATGGTCATTTTCTAGCATATAACTCATGAACGAAGGGCCAAAGTCCGCGTCCTTCTGCCATGAAATAGCTCAAACATGAGGTGAAGACCGAGAAGGGAGTGCATACCATTTTCTCTTTCACGAGATTCAGCCGGCCAATGTTGAGTTTCTTTTCCCTTTCAAACCCCTGTTTCAAGTCTCGCGCATACCAAGGAAGATATTTGAGCCATGGGATGAAGTCTACTAGGTAAGCGCCGGGAAGCGCGACCATTGACCTGATAATGAACTGAAGGCGTCGACGAAGCGCAATGACTTCGGGATCTGTTGCAGATGTTGGGGCAGTCTTCCCATATGCAACTTTCATGATTGTTGTTGAACTATAACTTCAACTCGCCTGTAAGTACTATAGTATGATCATCACCAAAAGCGCTTACGTTGTCACGTGGTCCTCGAAGTTGTGTGGATCATGGAGAATGTCGAGAACTGTGTTTCTTGCGTGTGACATCTGCAGGGGCTCATACGCCTCAGCTGCTGTAGGCTGTAGATGCGAGTGAAGTGCTCTGTGTCACGTTGAAAAGTAAGATAAACGAGGGAAAGTAAATATCGCAGACTATTGACCTACGCATCCGACGGACTCTGTCCCCAAATGGTGAAAATGCGATATTCAGTCCGCCATTAAATAACTCTCCAACAGCAATATTGCGAGGACGGTCACGTGTAAATCTCCCCTGGTTCTCCATAATATCCATGGCTGCCTGCGACAAATCGTTGAGCCTAGATATCGAGATTCAGCATGTACCAGGGACCGACTTTGTAACGGCCGATAATAACGACCCTTGCGAATTTTGACCGAATGGTGACCACAGGACCGTATTTTTCAATCCATCCTGCTATAGTGAGGGATGGTCTCATCGGCGATAGGACACAAATCAGCGTTTGACGTTCAAAAGCCAATAAGGCGAATGAAATAAATTACAGGAATTGCGGCAATGCGTGTCCAGTAAGTCTCCAGGTGGGAGGGGAAGGTGGGAGAGGGAGATTGCTCTTTGATTTAGCAAGGCACACCCAAGTAATTACTCCTACGACAAGGAGACAAGCTGCAGCACTGGGGACGAGCTGTGTGTTTAAATTGTCAGCAATGCGCAGGATCAGGTAGTTTGAGCATTGTTGATAGGGTGAAAAGATGGGATTAGAGGGAACTCGCTGTAAGTCACAAAGAGTAATCCTTTAAGTACCCTGGGGCCTGGGCCCATAGGTGGGAATATGATCCTGAAGATGGTCATTCGATTGTGCAGATATATCATAATCATTTTTCTAGGAAAGACAACTTCGGATGAGTTCGCCGGTGCTGCCGGCATGTGATGATTCGCGTACTACCGCTTGGTAGCACCTAGTAACCAGCACCACCATCAACGATCACAAATCATACCATCCCATTGCACAACAGTGACAGAGTGGCGGGACCTTCCGGCAAGGCTAGACAGAGCAGGTTTGTACAGACTCAGAGGTGGAGCCTGTAGGCCTAGACTCCTGCTAGCGCATACGATGTGCACATCATCGAAAGCAGCCTGGGGTTCCTCCGCTCTCTTGAGAGCAGGGCTGACCTGTCTAACACTCGGAAGAAGACAATGACGTGGACAATGTCCTGTAGTAGCCTATACTTGGTGCGAGTGATTGCACAGGAATCAGGAGTCAGTCTCGGATGAAAGATTGAAGAAAGGCGGCAGATATTAAAATGTGTGGATGTAATACTACCGTTGCAAATGCTACCGGTCCATCAAGAAGGAACGACTGTATGGTGACCCAAACGATTGGTCGAGGTGTAACTGGCGGGAAATAGTAAACTATTACCCAATTATAAGCAAGGGCGCTTAGCGCAGTGGTAGCGCGTATGCTTTGCACGAGCATCCGAATTGTATAAGGTCCAGGGTTCAATCCCCTGAGCGTCCATTTTTTTTTCTTTGTCCTCATACCTTTTTTTTTATTGACCACGTCGATGTAGTGAGACCGGCAAACTTTGTTTCATCGAAAGTAAACACGAAACCAAGATAGCACAAGAGTACATGACGGACAGTAATTCGTACGATTTGAAGTTCAATGGAGACGGAGAATGAAATATACAGTGAAACCATACTAATACAAGAACTACACTCTGCTCGAGTGGCACTTTCGTCTTCATACAGTCCATGACACCATCCTTCAAATCTTTGAACATATTCGTAGAACACTTCGACGACGTGTTTTGCAACAGCGTCGTCGACCTCCGCGCAAATAACGCTCTTGGAACCGAAGACGGTAGACCAGCTGCGAGGTGAATGACTTCGTCAGGCGTCTCCTCATCGCCGACGGCGGTATGACATGCCGATAAGAACGAGAACTCGGCATGCAGATTATCTTTCTCCATGATATCGAGCAGCATCCGATGATCATCTCATGTCGAAATGAGAATTGTGAGACAGGGTCCTGCTTGCCATGGCAAGCAAGATGTGCCCAAATGTTCTCCTGCAAAGTTCCGAGTGCACACGCTCGTGTGGGTGCGTAGCCAGAAGCAGTGGTGTGCTTGGCCATCGCAGGGACAAGCTTCTGGATAAGCTCGAGCTCGCTGTCGACAGCCAAGAGACCCTTGCCTTGCACCCGGTCGACCTTATCCGATCGCCACGAAGGACGGAGGCACACGCTTCTTCACCATCTGTCTAAATCTGATGAGAGCCGAAAGTGTCTGTGTGTAAGAACATGACTAGCGGCATGGAGATCAATACACGTGAAAGCCGCAGTTGGATAGAGATTCGAGAGCGGTGCTTAAGTTTCAGGATGAGATTGAGGACGTTGATAATGGGTAGCATGATCTTGTCCTTACTCGCAACGAGGATATGACAGGGCCATGGCGGGCTGCTGCTTGCATACAACGGTGGAAGCAGAAATCGCGAGAACGCTTGATGATTACTACTGCAGCTTCCCATTGCTTTGCAAGTCTCATATAGTTCCATCGTTGCTCGGTCAGCGGCAACTCGGTTTGTGCTACCTGCTGAAACCTGGGCATCAGAAAGGTGTTTACCGGGTTCGAAGAGTGTGAGCTAGGTGGGGAGTCATCGACTCAAGGTCCTCGAGTGGACTCCGCAGGCGAGAGGCCAGCGAACATTGTTGGCCACGACCCTGCTCTATGAGTTCGATTGCGCGTCGTATATCGTCACGGCGGATGGCACATGATGTTGCAGCTACAGGCAGCAATCTAGCACCACTGAATGCAGCGGCAGCTTCGCGTTGCGAAAAGGTCGAAACAAGTATTGTGGACCTCTAGCGCAGATGTATAATTGTGCCGCTCCGCGAGGCAGTTCCGGGCTGTTTATGATGCGGTATGGAAAGCCCTGAGTAGGGTGTCTCGATGCCAATCTGAAGTTCTCCACGACAAGTAACAGGTCGACATGGTTGCGTTGTACTTGGTAACGAGACAGATAAGTTTCCTGCACGCATGTGGCTTAAGGGTGCGGTGAAGACAAAATCGTTGATGATTTTTGACACAGACTACGAGGCAAGGGACCGCTGTCCATAGACTCATCTGGGTTTGAATTTGGATGTCGAGCTGACGTGAGCTTTTTGCCTTCGCGCGTCTACTAGCTATTGTTATTTTTATTGTGTTCCATCTATCACTGCCTGCGATCATTCCGGGCCTGGATAGTGAGGCCTTGGGGGTCCGGCTTCGTTGATATCACAGCACCACGCATCTCCGAGGCCGCTCCAACTTCTTCCAGACACTCATCATATGGCCGTATCAAATCTGTTCTCAAGATCTTGCGAGAAGGTCGTATATATTACTTCTCGACTCAATCCTTGAGATCGAACTTGGATCGCATATACAACTACTCTAAAGGGAAACTCTACAGAAAAAATGGTCATCGACATTATCAGTGGAAACCAAAGGGTCTTGTCGAATGCTAGGAAGTCAAACGAGTTACTCTCTATCGTTAGCTTTTTCCGGTGGAACGCCAGCTGTAGACTCCGAGATTGTTAGAGACACAGATGCGGGTCACGCACGATTTACCAAATACATACTCACTGGGAATCACCCGTGCAAGAAGAAGGAGTCCCAGTGAAACTGGCGCGCCCATTACGAATCTCAGCGCCAACTGACTTTTAATCACCGTATTTCCAAGGAATGGACGGAAACTTCCCTGGATAGGGGCCGTTTAGCAACGGGAGGATTATCGTCGCACGCTCCCAGCGTCTCGCCCAATCTGCGAAGTTCTCTGGATAGAATTTCTGGCGATATATGTGGGTGATAAGTAGGAAATGGATGAGTGGTATACCTATTGGTAAACTAAGGTCCATATGTGGTACTGAATCATAAATGAATGCAGGGCAGATACGATCGCGGCATAGACGGAGAACTCTTCCAGGAGTTGCATCATGTTCCTAGAGCAGAAGAAGTACATGCGGAAATGGAATATGCGAGTACTTGTTACCAGGCACTATACCCTATGCTTAATAGTACGCAGGCCATGGCGACACCACATATAATTGAGATATTTCTAGACCCGAGATTCGACGTATCTAAACACAAATCAGCCATCATAACAAGACAGGAACAAAGTAAACTTGAAGTACTCACCAGGGGAATCGGTCATTAAGGGCGCACTGAGCATCATATTCCGAGGATGTAGTTTCGAATGTGATACAAAGTCGCGGTGCCGGTTCAGGTCTAGGGCGAGCTGGACCGTGCATAATAATTCATCATCCGAGGACCCGTCGGAGGTCCTTGCAGACATGGGAATAATCCAAAGTTCATCTTCCAGCTTCCAGGCCCTCGTTCTTGAAGGTGCGACACAGCACTGAAACTGTCGTAGAACCTTCCAGACTAAAGCATCAATCTCCTTGGCACCAGCACGCGATGCCACCATCTCCTCTATTTCACGCGTATAAGGCGAGGGCGACACGTACGTTACGGCAACTTGACGCAAGTGAGTCATGAAGTAGGGCGGCGGATCATAATCAGCTATGGGAGACCGGATTTTGGCATCGACGCATGCATCTGAACTCCACCGATTACGCGCACGAGCGATCTCTGGCCGCCCCCTAATCTTGGCACACCAACAACCGCCTGTGACCCTGATTTCAGGCCAGTCTGACGCGTTTTGACCGTAAACTTGAAGATTATAGGCTTTGCAGCTGTCACAAAGGTCATCCAAGGCGCTCTGTAAGCTCTGGTTAAGCGATCCGAGTAAGGAGGCTGAAAGTGTGAGATGCAGATGGGTGAGGATACGAAGGCGGATCTCGGTGGGCAGCATAAGAGGTAGACGCGACGTTGTAGTGAATTCTGGAGATACGTATGCAAGGACAGCGTGTATGAGTGTAAGTCGAGTGACTCGCAAGCAGCTAGATGAAGGGGACTCCATGGGAGATAAAGTCAAGCCTGGTGGATGAATATAAATCCAAGGAAACAATGAGTTGAAATACGGCGTTCAGTGTGCGGATATAAAGCCTCGAGGAAGGGACATGAGGTGAGCTATTTGAATGGACAGAAAACAAATATCCAACGAAAGCATCATATCTCCTTCTTCGAGATCGGCAACATCGTAGAAGCACACACACACGGTCACAAGATAGTACTTACATCTCTCAAGTTCCCACCCATGAAACCCGACGGTGTTTTCGACTAGATACATAATGTGCCAGTCAGAGGGAGAACAAGGAGGAACCCACTTTCGACATCATACTTCGGCAGAAAGCGATTCGAAGGCACAGATCAGCAACTAGCTTCTCTATCAAATCGTTGTCTCTGGCCGGAGTATACCTGACGACCACCCACTGGAAGGACCCGCCAGTTACAACCTGAACTCGCTTTTGGGGTGCTTTTCACTCCCAACTATTTTAGATTGGCTTGTTGAGTCATGTAGTCAGGAGATTAAAATCAACTTCTGTTGTGGTAAGTCGGTTGTCGTGATGGAAGTTCCTTCATAGCCACAGTACCCGATAGATCCCCATTCGTAACCCTAACCTCAATCTAGGTTTCGGTCATCCGTCAGCGCTTTAACATCATTTCTCATCATCTCACGACACCATCCCGTTAGAATGATTCTCCTTCGTCCACCGACAGGCAGGGTGCTTAGGCTAGGCACCTCAGTACGTCCGATGTCTTCGCTTCCTACCCTGCCACTTCACCCGCCATCTTTAGCTGAGCAAACCGCTGCCTTCGATGCTCGCGTCCGAGATGTCTCCGCTTTCTTTTCCTTGCCTCGATTTGCTTCCACCACCCGTCCATACACCGCTCATGATGTAGCGCTAAAGCAGGGTTCTGCCCCTGTTCTTCCCCTGCCATCCACACTCCTTGCCAACAAGCTCTTCGCCTTGTTCACCGAGGCAGCTTCTAAAGGTCAACCTGTGCCCACCATGGGTGCTATTGACCCGGCTCAAATGACCCAAATGGCAAGGCATCAACAAGTCCTATATGTTTCTGGTTGGGCTACAAGTTCTCTGCTAACTACCGGCAATAATGAAGTCGGTCCTGATTTTGGGTAATGACGTGCCGGATCATGTGCATGCTCGCGCTCTTCTCATCTATATCGTATTAGAGATTACCCTTATACAACCGTACCAAACCAAGTTCACCGCCTTTTCCGTGCACAGCAACTTCATGACCGGAAGCATTATGATGAACGTATGTCCGCATTGCTGGAAAAGCGTGCAGAGATTCCATACATCGACTATTTACGACCAATTATTGCGGATGGAGATACTGGGTAGAAGGCACGCACCTTACCTGGTCTTCATATCTAACTCACAACGTCTCAGTCATGGAGGGACCTCTGCTGTCATGAAACTCACCAAGCTCTTTGCCGAGTCAGGTGCTTCAGCCATACATTTCGAGGACCAACTTCATGGTGGAAAGAAGTGCGGACACCTTGCAGGGAAGGTTCTTGTTCCCCCAAGCACACATGTATCGCGGCTTGTTGCGGCTCGTTTCCAACTTGATATGCTTCTATCTCCGATGTTGCTCATTGGCCGCACTGATGCTGAAAGTGGCAGGCTCCTTTCTACCAGCATCGATCCTGCTGATCACCCGTAAGTCCCAATTTTAGAACCTGGTGTCAGTCTGAAATAAGTCACCTTAGATATATCCTCGGTACTACGACGCAAGGACAACCTCTCAGCGAAACTCTTGCGCGAGCCACAAGCAGTGCGGATGCAGCAAGAATTGAGAAGGAATGGGATTCACTGAACGAGTTGATCACTTTTAATCAAGGCACGTATTTATCACCGTCTTCTGTCCGCCACATTGAGTATGTGGCATAGCCGTCGAACGAGTGTTATTGTCTAGCAGTAGTTCCAACCCACGCGGCGTGTTCGAGCAGTACAAGAAGGCAGTGGCCGGTAAATCAAACTTCGAAGCACGTCACATTGCTCGGGAGGCTGTTGGCCAAGATATCAACTGGAGCTGGGACCGTGAGTACAGCTGCCAATGCTTCGAGGTCTTCACTCATTTTTGGCAGTCCCTCGCACACCTGAAGGCTTCTATCGAACCACTGGTGGCCTTCAGGCAGCCATTGACCGTGCCCTTGTGTATGCACCTTACGCAGACCTGTTGTGGCTGGAAACTGGTAAGCCAGATTTAACGGAGGCCAGAACCTTTGCGAGAAAGATCCGAGAGAAATACCCTGGCAAATGGTTTGTATACAATCTGAGCCCTAGTTTCAACTGGTCGCAGGCAGGGTTTAGCGGTACGTTACTCCCCAATACTAGTCTTCGTTGTCTGAGAGCACGAGCGGCTTGAGCAGACGCAGATCTCAAGAACTTTATATGGGAACTCGGAAAGGAAGGGTGCGATACATAATATTTTACTTCAAATGGGCTTGCCTCATCGATGAACCCAGATTTGTTTTGCCACTAATTTCCCTTGCTGGGCTTCACAGCAATGCTGCTGCTACTGGTGTGTTCCCTCCTGAATGCTAACACCCTGTCGCTTACTGGATATCCACCCAGCCGAGCTCGCTGCACGGTTCAAGGAAGATGGTATGCTTGCTTATGTGGAGCTTGTGCAACGCAAGGAGAAGGAAATCGGTTGTGATGTCCTCACCCATCAGAAGTGGTTCGTGTCCCTTTCCAGGTTCTGCTCCCGATGTGTTCTCAACGTTAATGATGCAGGAGCGGAGCCAACTACCTTGATTCGATCATTCAGACTGTATCCGCGGGATCGTCAAGCACGTCTGCTATTGGGAAGGACTCGACGGAACATGATTTCTAATCCTTGACCGATCCGTACTGTGTAGACAGAAGGATATATACTAATTGGACATGAAGAAGCTGTTAAACGCGGAGATGCTTCTACTTGCGGTACCTTGTGTGCTAGTCCCATACCAGCCCCAGAGAATCAAGAGTGATCTTCGATTACATGCCAATGTCGTTTATGCTGGAAGAGCTTACGCAGGATGCAGTGTCTTGGCAAGCATGCGTCCGTCCAACACCGCGGTCTGACGAATGTCCCAGAAAAATGCTAGCATGCTTAAAAGATGCTAGGAATCGATGTTAGTAACCTAAATTTACAGCTCAATAACGAATTCCACATAAAAGCGCACTCGGACCCTGCTCTTATGAAATGAGAGAACCATGGTCATCACATCAGAACATTAATGCACGGCCAAGTACCGATGCCGTCTACTCTGAGTAGGAGGTTATACCTCTTTACCCGCGAAAATATCAATTTTTGATGATCCGTTTGGAGCTGAGATGGGGAAAAAACCTGAGTGCCCCTGTACCTATCCAGCGCGTCGTGCCTCCTCTGATATTGTTGTTGATGCTAACTTGATGGTCGCTGCAAGGACGTTTAACAAGAAAGATGTGTTTATTCCAGATACGACGGTCACGGATCAGTATTTCAATTGGGGAGCATGCGACTAGTCCTGGGCTTGATGAACCGTTATCGTAATACACTACAAAGTCGTCGTGTGACCATTGGTCTACTGATCTGTGAAGGCCCATCGGGCTTTCAGCGCTCAGCTGCTACAAGCACCATGGACCATGGCTATATTGAATGCTTCGTGATCATGTCATTGTATGATGATTCTTGCCTCTATGCACTTAGCATCATGATATCTATGCCAGACTGCCGAGTTTGTTATTTTTGTCCAAGTGTAATCCAGTTGTATGCAATGAAAGCAATAATAAGATATGGTAATGAAGTAAAGCGACGATATATAATGTAAAAATGTGACGTTGGCAGGAAAGCAAGAAACGAGAGGAATAATGCAACGTCCGCAACAGTGAAGACCAAAAGTGAAACACTACCCGCCAAGAACGAAGGATTAATCCTGGTCAAGTGTTTGATAAGGATAAGTCAAGCTGGGGTATAGTCGGGGCGAGGAGGATACAAGCTCGTACTGTGACGATTCAAAACTGCTGTCTACTTTGGAATGGCGAGGAGGGGTTAGCTGCTGAGCAGGAGATACAGAACCTGGAGGTGGTAGAGGTGAAGATGTTTGCTGTAAGGACGACAGTGTCCGCGAGTGTGTCTTAGATGAGAGAGCAAGGTCTTGAGATGATGTCGAGAGATTCGATGAGGCCCCCATTTTAGATCGTCCAACAGACTTTCTTCGCTCAAAAATGCCACTGCCAGTTCGAGCGTGATTTGAAGGCAGATATTGTTCAGCAAGTTTCGGGGTTGGAGGTATCCCAGCATCCAAGACGCTCGACCTCCGAGGCTTTATGGTCTCGTTAGACACGGGTCTTTCAGTATCTCGTCTTGGTTCTGAAGGAGCACTAGAAGAGGTTGTGGAGCCTGATACTGATTTCCAGGTCTTAAGAATCGATTTACGGACGCTCGTCTTCTCTGACGAAGGAATTGTCGGAGACGATGATCGTGTGGGCGTTCGTGGCATACTTGTCCCAGGCATAGGAGGTAATCCTTTTTGCGGCGGCGGCCCGAGTTGATCATGCAACGATGGAGCAGGAGGTGCAATTCCCTGGAACGAAGTTTGTGTAGCATTTGGCGTAGGAGGTTGCTGAGCCGACACCGACGCAGATTTGCTTCTACGCCAAAGTCTCTTGAAAGTCTTGACGCTCACGAGAGGAGTAGAGGTTTTGGCAGCCGCAGTATCCACCGAAAAACTTTCCGAGTCAGCAGAGAATCGGCTGGAGGGTGTTGTAGAAGCAACAGAACCCTCATCCACAGATGACAAAGATGGTCTGGATTCGACAGGAATGCTGGTGAATTGCCCAGTTGCAGGATCCCAATACGTTGGGGTGGAGTGAGCTTCTGATTCGATATAAGAGGGGTAGCGACCAAAAGGATCAGGAGACAGCGGTATGGGGGAGTCAGTTGCCATGTCCGATAGCCTTCTAAATGAATTGGGCATGGGTGGTGGGTACATGGATGGCTCCAAATCTCGTTTGCGAATCTTGGTCTCTGTGGAGAGAGTATTGGGTGATGAAGACCGCGAGGGTGGAGCGAATGATTTTGGGGCACCTGTCGACACACCGTTGATAGCAAGTTGAGGTGGTGACGGAGTGAGATTTGTAGGCCGATGTGATCGGGAGCTTGGAGATTGCGAATTATTAGCGATAGATGAGTAGGAGACAGTAGGCCACGATTTATCGCTTGCATCCGCAAGATCGATGGAGTTTCTGAACTTTCTTAAGCCGAAAGATTACTGACAGCTCAAATTGAACTCACCCTGTAGCCTGAATATCACGTGTACGATCAACTAATGATTTCGAAGTTCCTCCTGCATGAAGTGCGAGAAGCGACTTCGTTCGGGTATGAGTTATCGTAATATCTTGGTCCAAGTCATCCGTTTTGATGTGTCTCGGAGAAAACTGTGCCAAAGTCTAGTTTCCTAGATGTCAGAATCACGAGATGAGCACATGTATCACTAGCATACCCGTTCAATCTCGTCAAGTTTGGCTCTCATAAGATATTGGCTTCTGCGTTGATCATTCGGATCATTCTCGTCATACTACAAATAGAGTTCACTGGCAAGGCATAAGACTGGCAGCGGAAACACACCTCTTCGTCTTCGTCTCCGTCTCCGAGATCTAAACCAAGATTGAGGTCTTCAAAAACAGCACCGCCGCGCTTTTCTTCAGGACTCCGTGATCGCATATATTCTTGGTCCATGTCTAGGGAGGCTTCATCATCGTCACCTATCTCATCCGTGACCGGGATCCCTCTTGGACTTGCATGCGCATAGGGCACACTCATACCGTCGCCTTCACTGGAAGATGATAGCCTCGGGCTGGATCCAGTATGCAGAACAAGGCTATTTCTTGTGTCGTTGGGTGCAAGGACCAAAGGAAGGGGAGGTGACTTCTTAGCACTTGCTACCGGGGGTGACGACAGATGCTGTGAGTTTGAGTTCGGTGAAGATGGTATCGACAAGGTCAACATGGGCTTTGACATCCTGCACATGATATCCCTAACCTCTTCCACCTCATCCACCTCATCTTCCGCTTGTGCCTGTTCAGGCATAGCAGTGATTGAGGATACATCCAACGCAAGCTCGACTACATTTGGATTGATCTCAGGCTGATTGCCCTGCGATTCAGCGCGCATTTCAGCCCAGGTGTCTGCATCACTGCCGAAGATGTCCACCAGAGGATCATGATGACAAATGTCAGTCTCGCATGTTGTTATGTCCTCGTCAATTTCTTCATCTGTGGGATCTGACAAGGGAGCATACCCGCCGACGTCGCCTCCCTCTCCTCCCTCTATTGTTGCTTCATCTTCAATTGCTTCGTCAGTGGAATCTGACAAGGGAGCATACCCGCCAATGCCGCCTCCCTCCATTGTTGCATCGTCTTCAATTACTTCGTCCGTGGAATCTGACAGGGGAGCATACCCACTAGTGCCGCCCTCCTCCATTGTTGTGTCTTCTTCGATTGCTTCGTTCGTGGAATCTGACAGGGGAGCATACCCACTAGTGCTGCCCTCCTCCGTTGTCGTGTCTTCTTCGATTGCTTCGTTCGTGGAATCTGACAAGGGAGTATACCCACCAGTGCTGCCCTCCTCCGTTGTTGCGTCTTCTTCAATTGCTTCGTTCGTGGAATCTGACAAGGGAGTATACCCACCAGTGCCCCCCTCCTCCATTGTTGTGTCTTCTTCAATTGCTTCATCCGTGGAATCTGACAGAGGATTATACCCGCCCTCCCCCCTTGTTGTGTCTTCGTCAATGGCTTTGTCCGTGGAATCTGACAGGGGAGCATATCCACCAGTGCCGCCCTCATCCCTTGAAGACAGTGATGCAGTAAAGCTGGGCACAGAGCTTGCATTTTGCATCCTCCCCACTAGTTTTAGATCGAACGGCGCACGCCTTTCATCTCCATCTCCTTCCGTACGTGGTTGAGAATATGCTCGATTACTTTGACGACTCTCGGCACGTTTAGTATGGGTCATTCGACGGCCACGCAACCATGGCTCGTACCACGCTGCTTTCCGTCGATCAATATCAAACTCCACTTTTGCAAGTATAGGTATTATAGAGGGTGAATTAAGACCTGGCAGCGTAACGCCAAGTATTTCGTTATCAGAAGAATGGGAGGTATCGGGGGTATCTGGTTCCGAGTGTGTCAATGATGAGGATGATAGAGGGGCAGATTTAGAGTGAGACCGAAGATCGGATACTGAAGACGCGGTAGACGAAGGAGTAATTGGGTATGTGATAGGTTGCGGTTGCGGCGTTTCCGTCCGCATGGGGGTGACCAAAGGGCGCAAGTTGGACTGGCCCGTTGAGTCTAGTCCTAGACCCAGACCGAAGGAACTAGAGCCTACTCCCCGCGAAAGTGTGAGAGATTCTTCACGCTCAGCTTTCAGAACTCGACCCCAGATATGTTTCCAAATTTCTTCGGAGATGCGTGGACCTGGTTCCTCTGCATCCTCGTTTCCTGAATTGGGGGTGGCATAAGGCATTGGACTATTCTGGCGGCTCTGTGGGGAAGTTGTGATAAGGTAAAGGATGAGACCGATTGTGCTAGGCAATGCATATTCTTTGGCAATTGCATTCAGTTGCGCATGCAGCGAAGGCTGCAGAGAGACAAGGGTACCGCGTCTAAACTGCGTGTGATATCCCGATGCATTAGGAGGAGGTGCAGGTTCCAATGGATCAGACGCGTCGAAGTCGTGAAGGAGGTGAAGAGGTGGTATGACATGCAGCAAGAATTTGGACTGAGATGAAGACGCAAATGATCCAACATTGTGAGTAGATGTAGCAGACGGTGTCATCACGCGCCAGGGAAGATCAGTATGACTCGTGGTGGGAGATGCGCCAGGAAAGGAAGCAGACAAGTATGCAGATGAAGAATTAGATCCTGCGGGAGAAGGCATAGAGACTCCCAAGGCATTAGCTATCTTCGCAAGACGATGCGGGGGTAAAGGTGCACGAGGCGGAGCCCACTGCCCCGGCTGAAGACTTTGTGGGTTTCCAGAGACATGAAAATGTTCTGTTGCTGTCATGACTTTTGACTGGCACGGAGTGGTTAGACCTGCTGGCCAAGCAGTTCAGCACTGGGCAAGCAGAGAAAATGGTCCTTGGGCGTCACACTAAGCGGTGTTGGAATCAGCGACGTTAACCTAGGTGATCCGTATTCTGAACCCATCATCATACACAGGGTCAGCAAGGCATTATTGGAGTGTCAGAAATATATGAACGAACATTGGCGCAACTATTCTGGGAGATTTCATAAAATAACCGTCCTTTGTCGTCGCCTTGCTCGAAATTAAGGTCAGTCGTACCTCAAGCCTTAAGACAACTTTAAGACTCGAGAGTACACTACATGGGGCAGGCTTAAAGCTTTGCAAACTTTCCGTTGACGACTGTGAGAAACAATTTCCACTTGGAGATGTTTTTGTATTTGACCTGCTCAGCGTCGACCAATTGCATGTAAGTTAAGAGCCGCCGTGATCGAGGCCAACAACTTGAAGTGCATCTATACCAGGCCGCACGATAGTCATAACATCATCACTCCCATCCTTGAAGACAATTCTAAGAGCGGGCCCACTTGTGCTGGCCAAGTTCGACGTGAACTGCACGCTAACAAAAGTCAAATACAGGCGCAGGTTCAAGTTATTCCAGTGTATCAGCACCGGCAACTATTGTTTGTTATTCGTTTAATTGAAACTGACTTGGTAACATTTGGACAGGACAGCACGGCTGCAACTTACTCAATCATGATGTCACAAAACATCATTTAACTGGCGATGCCAGCGCACCAGTAAAAGACACTTCATTTGGAAGTCGTACATGGCAGCCGTGATGGTTTATACAATTTCTACTGGATTGTGACCAACGAGAATGACCAGTATGCCTCCCAGAACAATCTCACGTCCATAGCCATGCGTGTGTCTGTCGCGTACGCCCACACTCACAGGCCGGTGGCAAAGAAATTGTATGCAGAAGCCAGATAGGCTGATACTGCTTCTATCCGATGCTCGTCTTCCTCCGCCACAGCAGCCGCCGCATCGCCATCCCCTAACATCAGGGTCATCCTCATCCCTATTTGACTGCCCTTCTGGAAGGGAGACGGCCGTTTTCCCGTGAACTGGACCGGTGTATGATTTTGATTTCTTCTGTGCGATGCTTTTAGGGGCACGTCCGGTCGGAACAGCGAAGCGCACATTAACTTAGCTCTGCTACGCTGGACCAAAAGTGTACCTGAAATACAATCTCAATCTTGGTTAGTAGTAAGCTATATTCTTGCCGATTGCAAGAAAATCCTCATCGATTTCCAAAAGCACTTCGTTTGGGCAAGACAGGTGTGGACAATACCACGATGGACGTCCAACAAGCTATCTATTGCAGTCCTCGAATTTGCAAACAAGTTTTCTTTCGAATATGGACACTATCAGCAGATGCATGACTATCTGTTGCTGGAACCCGACGGGCGGACACTCGAGAACCCTGCAATTCTACTACGAAGTCTGACAATCTCCATCATGGACTAGACGCAGAGTAGCGGAGGCAACGTAATTCTTCGGACGGCGATGGTATATTACTCCTAACCAGACAGTGATTTCCCATGACCGTCCTTCATCGTCCTTCAAATACGGGAGAACAACCGTCCATTTGCAATCCCTCATTCCCGACACGATGGTAGGTATCTGCAACAATCTTCAGGTAGAAAACACTTGACAGGATCACATACTTGAGTCACAATCAAGTTGTACCTGGACTTCTAGTGTGTGAACATTCCCGATCAAGTTTCTTCAAGTTTTTTGACATTAGACATCACTCTAATGGGTCGACGATCTGGAACATTGGTGAGTCCCCGTTGACGCTCAAGAACCACCAGAACCCTGATATGTTTAGCAGGTGACCTAGTCCACGAACGAGTAACTCCATATAACCGGAAATGAAGGGGTGTTGAAATATCGGCGGAAGTGTTGCTGTCTATCAATTCATTATCGACTTTCCATCGATAGGAACGATCGGAGGGTCGGCAGCCGTTCCACACCAACCGAGTCATCCGGAATCAAAAAAAAAATCCATTGTGAAATTCGTTCTTCAAAATATTGTAGAATTTACTGTGGACTCAGCTGATGTGCAATCGTAGTTGGGTGCAGCGTGTTCGTCTTTTTAGATCCAGCCAGTGATAGAATATACATGCACACGGTAGCCTCGAGGCATGGTAAAAATACAAAGCGGTGCCGGCGGCTTAGAATGGGCCGGGTGGTGTTTGGGTGAACTCTATGTACAATAGGGAGGAGAGGGGGATGGATGTAGGACTTGAATGATTTTTTGTTCTTGAGTTGCATTGTTCTCCATGGTGTACAAACAAAGGGAAAACAGGGGAACTGATGGATGTGATAGAATAGGCGCCCGAATTATTATGAACGGTTTGGTTCCGTAGCTTGTTAGCGAAGGAGATCGCTTTCTGGAGACTTTGGGGGTGACCGGTGACCATTGTTACTTGATTCTTAGCTTCCTCCTTTTCTTCTTAAATTTCTTTTCTACCTTTTAGTTCACGATAAACTTGCGCGCTCCAAGTTTTCATTTTGTACCACGACCCATCCACGATTTTTTTTTCACAGCAGTCCAATGGATCAGCACCAACACCAACACCAACAGCACATAACCGATGATCATAACCAAAATCTCGGACATGCAAGTCCTTATGGATTCTATCCAGCCGAGCAAGAATCATCTTACAGCCTCGCGTACAACCACCACGCGATGCAGCACCAGCAATCCTTTCCTGTCGTGCAGCATCCTAACCCTCATCATCCTCGTGGGTACTTTTTCATCCTCGAGGCCAAAACTCGCCTTAAACACATGTTGATCTGATAATGTGCTCATGTTCTTGATTCTTTGTAGGCCATCTATCTGCGCCGGACTTGCATCAAGGCCTGCAGTTCCATAATCTTAGCCTCATGCCCACGCATCAAACGCATCAATATCCGCCACCCGTGTATACCTCATCGCCACAACATGTGTCAATGAATCTGCCTGCTGGCTCACCCCCTCCGCCCTCACCTCACATGTACGATCCTTTGTCCCCACCCATTTCAGGATCTGACACATCAGCGGACGGCCTTTACCACCACCATTCGAGAAACAGCAGCGGGACAGGCTCCCCATCGTCATCCCGTGGACCTAGTTTAGTTCATCGCCAATCTCTTCGCTACAACCCCACCCCTTCCCCTACCACTAGTTCTTCTGGGCGTCGTGGCCGTGCTCGTTCCTTAAACGACTCAGACGACGAAGACAACATGGGCGCTACATACGTGGAGAACTTGGCTCACACCAGAAAGGAGGCAACACGCAGACAACGCATCGAGGCTGAGCAAAGGCGTAGAGACGAATTACGCGATGGCTATGCCAAATTGAAGGATGTCTTACCAGTTTCTAACCAGAAGAGTAGCAAGGTGTCGCTACTCGAGCGAGGTAAGGCGATCAATGATAATCTTCGCCGCTGGATTGTTGACGCTGTGGCGTTTAGCTACCAATCATATCATCTTACTGGACAAACAGACGCAAGAGATGCAGGCCCGTCTTATGGTGCTGGAGCAGGAGGTTCAACGCCTTCGTGCCGTAAACGAGAAAATCTCGCTTGGCACGAGCAGCTCCCCTTCACCGGGAAATCTTCATGGTGTTGATGCACGACCATTGTCACCTCCCCCTGAGCCTGGAATGCAAAATCATTCTCTGGCTCATGTTCAAGGCCAACAGCCTCCACGAGAGGATTCGCGCAGTCCTGCCTCAGATTACTGAGGTGCTGTGGCTCGGCCATTTTCAACGGACACTGTTGCCACCCATTTTCATCATTTTCCGCATCTTGTTTCACTGCACATCATGTATTTCTTATTCGTGTTTTGCGGCTCAGCGGTGGAAAAAGTCGAGAGGTATCTAGCTTTTGACGAGGCAGGTCAAGGAGTGGGCGCTGGGGACGTTTTATGCGCTATGCGCAATCCTATCGTCCATCCGCCCTCCTTCGAGCTCTCATACAACTTGATGTTGCAGGATCGATACGAATTCTCGCCCCTCTCGATCCGAGGAAGCACTCGATTACTACAGTCGTGCTTCATCTCGTTGATTGATAGGCGTTTGAGACCGTGTCTCCACCTTACATCACCTCGTGAACGCTCTATTCCCCAGTGGACTATCGCTCCCTCAAAGCTTAATCCCCCAACCGCCAAGTATTCGGGTCACCCATCCCATCCTATCACTAACATGTATTGCACTCTTCTCACGACTGCATCTAACCATCTATCCACCCGTCCCTATCACTTACTCATACGTAACGCGTCCACACACCTGCCCGCCATTATACACCATAGGTGCGGCTTGCTACGACCGAAACTCAACACGACTGAACGAACTCATTCTTGACGAATACTGCACGAACTCACTCGACGGGAACCGACGGAAAGGGCGCACCAAATTATATAACCCGCTCGGCGAAGAACTTTTTGACCTGATGGTCAATTGTCTCTTCAGCTAGCTTTCTTGATGGAAGTTGTTGCGCTGCGGGTGCTCTCTCTAGGAGAGGGTTGGAGCGAAAAGGTGCCTACCGAAGGAAGTTGTAGAACAACCCCCGAAGATATGATCTATCATCTGTAGTCAGTACAGTAGTTTGTTCAACGCCTCACGCTTTTCTGTTTTTCTATATCATTCTATCATCCTCATTCTTGTGGTCCAGACAAGGGCAAATCAGGTGGCATGTACGATCGACTGATCTGAGTGATCGTTCGATGATCCAGACAATCATATATCCGTCGGGATACCGGTAGCGGAGCGCCTTGTTAGTGGTCCCAAATAACCCTCGGATTTTTGACCCACTTAGTCACAACTCCACATGAATGACACAAATATATTGTGGCGGAAAACAAGCAAAATGCCCTCCAAGTTCGGGTAATACACGATTGGCTGTACAGGAAGAAGATCCCCGGCTTCCGGGGCTCTAACACCACTGTCAAATAGACTCTGGAGTCCTCGGATAAGGTATCGTCAGAATTGGGCACACTGAGTTCATATTCCTAGTATGGGGAGTTCTTCTCCACAGATGCGGGTGATATAAAATCAGTCGCTGGATCATGATGACCCATGAGCTAGAGAGATGCGTACTTGCCGGATGGTAAGTGAATATTTTTACAAACACAACGTTCTATGGTCGGAGCTGACAATGCAGTACTCCTCGACGCCGAGACTCGAGGAGCTCCACCGGTCCCGAATCTTGTAAAACTATCGTGATTGAGAGAAGCTCCCCCAAAAAAGTAGGTTAGCAGCTCCTTCCAGAATGGGGCTCTGATAAGTTCAGCGGAGATGAATCTGGATAGCGAGGAAGTTCTATCGGCAGTTCCATAGAGCGCAGAGAGAACGGATGTTTATTTTTTTCATAGACGTGAAAGGGTGACGCAACACATCCTGATCTGTGTAAAACGTTACATAGTCGAGAGGAGCTGTCCATATCGACAAGCTGATGATCAGGATCCTATAGCTGGTAAGATCAATAACCCCAGGGATCACAAGAACTTGCGCAGCGGACAATTTAGTGATGCAATTGCTTCGACCGAACCTTGTGACAGGATAGTGCGCACTCTAGACAAAGTTCAGCAAAGTAGAGTTTTGAACACGCCGTTATGCAAGCCATTGGATCGTGAGACCGTGAGTGCTTTTAACGAGATGGTCCTTGATGATTGTGTCCGCATCACGTACCCATGCATGGGGCAGATATCACCCTTTCCTGCCAGGATGATCAGAACAGATCTCCTCGTGTTGTTAAACAAATCGGAAAGGCGATCTCTTCAGCTGAAAGTGACGCGGGGGCATTGCGGGGGCAAGGCAAGTCTTGTGTCACTCGTGACAAGAAGGCGTCACTCGCTTACCGTCACACTTGCGTTTCAGTTTGTTCCAGCCGAACCTCACAGCTTTCCGCGAAATGCAATACACTAGCTCTTTCACCGCTCCACTGATTTGCTATCAACACAGCGAGGAGCTGATTTGCAGGTTTTTACTTGTGACTCGACACTCTCGAGACTGCGCTCAATCTGCGATATAGTAAACTACCGATCTAGGGGCCTTACCTTCATATCGCCATTGTTTGTTCGATGCTTCCAGAATGGAACGGAATCACAAGGCTTGATACGGCCCACGATAAGTTCTACACATGAAACTAATCGCTTACTTTTCTCCGTGCACTAGAATCAACAATTTTAACCGTCGATCCTACATGGTTTTCGTTCACCCACAACGAGGCTCATGATAGGCTAATGCTACAGTCTTATCGACTTGTTCTTCAGGGCCTCGCAGCTGATGCGCTTTGCTTACGGCGTTACTATTTTCGCCTGCTTCTTGCTTTCATGATAAGCGGCGGGGTCTCTGTAGTACTGCGCGGGCGAAGCTGCTTGTAGATCCCCGGCGAGCGAAGACTTCACAATCCTCCGATCCGAGGAAAGTCTAGGCGTCGTGAAATGATGCGTGACCATTTTTGCGCTTCTTTTTTAGCACAAGTGGACATATTGAACTCTGCTTGCTCTCTGCGAACTCATCCGGCCGTCTCTTGGTCCACCCGGAATATTCATGTGCACATACATGCTTCCTACTTTGCGGCTGTGTTCTGTGACCAGTCAAAAGATTTCCCACTCATCCATTCCACACGGCAGAGGTTTAATGCAGGGTTTAGCCGCATCTACTGGGATATGAATGCCGCTGTAACGAAATTCTTCTATCGCATTGGTCCGTCAGTGCACAACTGTGGTCATGCACTCTAGTCTGTGCGAGACAGTCGGACCTGACAGCTGTGTAGGTGAATGGCAGGCATCGCCTCTGGTGCGTGTTTTTGCTTAAAGTCTAATTACGTCCCCTCCCTAACGTCATCTGATGTTGATTGATCATCCTCCATTCTCAGGTCACGCATCTATTCACTTGGACTAACTCGTACGTTAATAGTGGATTCGTGAGATCTGATGCAAGCCCACTGATTGGCGGCCAAGGCCCGCACTGTTGTGAACTATCTAAAATGGTACGCGCGCTCTCGGCTGTAGACAAGGTATTCCAATTACGCAGACGCGTACCAAATACGGACCCACGGCGTAACACCACTGGGATATGATAACTGCGCGAGTAATTGTTTTGTGGTGTCATCACAATGAAATTCTTCTGACTTACAGCCGTGATACTATCAGGGGATGTCGAGATGACGACATTGCTTCGTGGCGTTAGTAACGCCTTAAGCCCTAGAGAAAAACTGTTTCAATAGTGCGTTTACTAATCGGCTGGGTGATCACAATTGCACAGGAGACCTTCGGAGGCTCATGTGATCAGTCACAAGTGGGTGAATTCAAAACTAGCTTTGCATGACAGCACATATTAAATTGGACCAATAGTTGCCGAGAAAAGTGACACTAGTAGTGATCGGAGCATGGATCGAAATTTATAAGGTTTAGCGCGAGTAGCGGGGGGATGAACGAAACGTTGTGCTAGGTTTGTCCTCATGTTGAGAAAAAAATGATTGAACCGAATTTGAGGACAAACTGAAGCAAAATCACAGATACCGATTCGATAACACGGGCGGCAGGTAGGGTCACCGGAAAGCGCCAGCCGGATCTAGATGGTGTCACCGGCGAGACAGGGCATTACGAGTTGACCGAGCCGCGGCGCGGCGGGCGCAGCAAGATAATAATGCAATGCGTCAGGGTTGAGAACGGTATGATCGGGACTTGGAGTTCTGGGGGGACGGTTAGAATCGAACCCAGAGGAAGCGACATGAAAAATGCTATGGTGGTAAATGGGCTAGACGATCATGAGTTAGCTTAGGGTGAGCGTGACTGACGCTCGGAGAAAGGGTTGGGTAACGGGCAAGAAGTGAAAGAATGGAGATGACATGACAATTTAGCAATGGAAGGAAATGGATGATACAAATTACAGACAAAATGGAGAGCGGGTTGTAGCTGATTTGGAATTGATGATCTGATGGCAAGTGGGGGCTGGCCGTGTTAGGATTGGCTCAGGAAAGGATCCGGGCAATGAGGCAGTAATTGCTAGACTAAGGAGACTTGAGTGGGAAGAGATGCGGCATGTCAATGAAAGCCCCGTTTGTGAAAAGATAGGAACCGCTCTAAAGAGAAGAAGACAGGGACTAGAAATTCCGAAGTCATTTTTGGCCATGAAGGGTTGAAGGCACAAACACGAGGCGCAGCGGGAATACCATACTTTCTATTTTTGGTAACGTGAGATTTACATTCCTAAACGGATCATGTCAAGTCATTTGTGCCAGGGATATTTAGACGGAATCAAAACACTAACAAGTCTCCTCATCCCCTTCTTTTCTTCAAATCCTCATATTCCGACTACCTTCCTGTTCTCCAGTTCCGACTTTTTTTTCTTTCTCCAGCTCTGTTGTTCTATTGTGCAGTCGGCTTCGGTACGTTGTTGTTTTCTTATTATTCTTCCTAGTCCTTTTGTTTAACGCATCCTATCCCCAGCATATTTCAAGTGTCAGCTTATTTTGACGATCATCTCTACCTAGGCTGCAGTGCAAGCACCCGCCCTCCGTACATCGACACATCGCTTTTTTTTTTTCAATCAGCCCTCATGGAATCAACTCTCCTCGAGCACCCCCGGAGCCCCAACTTCATGGACACCCCATTTGCTTATGACTCGATTGCCAACCTCGAGCCGTACTTGCAGTACCCTCAGTCCCCCTATGGGGTCTCCACGATGTCCCGTTAGTATTTGAATGACTCATATTCCCACGAGTACAACAATTAACTGTATTCTATTTTTAGTCCCTGGACCCTCGTCTTCGTCCCCTCGCTTGGACTTCAATTCGTTGAACCTTACCAACTCAATCGGCGAGTACTCTTACTCTTCGAGCACGTCATACACGACTGCTTCGCCAGGGCGCCCCTACACGCCCCCCGACAACGGTATCTCACCGCCCGCTGTGTACTCTCTCAGCGCTGGTGAGCTCTCGTCGGACGGCCTTACTTCAGGCCGGCGTAGCCGTGGAAGCGGGACCCATTCCCCTTCCTCCGTGCACTCCGTTCCTTACTCTGCTGCCGTGCCGAGGTCGCACCGCTTCAACCCTATTGCGGCGCCTACCACGCGCTCTGCTACAAAGGCTACGCGGAGAAAGTCGAGGAATGACGACTCTGATGACGAAGATGATGATTTCCAGCCCACCATCCCTGCTAACGCCAGCACTGACATGCGTCGCGAGACGATTCGTCGTCAACGCATCGAGTCAGAGCAGAGGCGTCGTGATGAGCTTCGGGACGGTTACCGCAGACTCAAGGATGCTCTTCCGGTCTCCAACCAGAAGTCTAGCAAGGTCTCGCTCCTAGACCGCGCTACGACTCACGTCAAGTACCTCGAGATGACCGCTCAACAGCTCCAGACGAGACTCCAACAGGCTGAGGCCGAAGTACAGCGACTTCGCTCGTAAGTTTCTTATCGACACCGCTTTACTATAATCTCATCTTATGTTTAGCGTCAACGAGGCGTTGATGCTCGGCACCGCTGAGCAACGTCACGCCGCTGCTGCCGCCGCAGTCGCAGCAGCATCTCAGCAATCACAGTCAAATTTCTGATTGCTGTGCTGACGTAGGATCGCTCGAAATATCCTCAAAAAAGCACCGTCGGTTTACATTATCAGCATTGTTTATTCGCATGATCACACGACACTGGAATGCCTGTCGCCGGACTACAGGTTTAACGCACACTCAACGGACACTTAGCACGCATTTTTTATTTTTGCACTCGTCATGAACTTCATACGCATCGTTATGTCTTCCTGCGTTGCATGGATAGCGCTTTAGGCGTCCTAGTGACGTTCTATTCATTTTTGGACAGGTTTAGGATCGCGTAGTGGCGCTTGCGCCGCTCGTACGTCGACTGCTATGCATCGACAAGTAGAAAACTCCTGACGATGAAGATAGGATACCGACTGGATCCGGATGATGTGTGGAGAATACGATACGACACAAGACCGCAGAGCAGCTCGAGGCACTTTGCCACCCAAGTGGTGTGCACGCTTCGCCGCATCTGCGTGTGCTTCTTGTTATCACGCCATCCTCTGTTCCCCCCCTTCCGTTTCCATTTCATCCTTCTCGCATTGAGACGACCACTTCATTGTGGTACGTGCCTCGTGCGCGCCGATACATGGGCGCATCATCAGTGGCGACACTCTCACGGGCATCCTTGCCTTTCTGGAATGGGTGTTTTTTTACGTAGCTATTCATCTCCGTCCTCTACGAAGACTATTCCGCATCTAGCACGCATGGCATGTTTTATTATCATCCTACTTATCACCTTTTGTCATGATCCGGCGACTGATCACCGCTTATTTCGTGACCCCTACCCTTTTCGCGAGATCATCAAGCTATCTCGTGGATAACACGTGGCGACCACAGCATTGCATGTCTGTGTGCAAGTGCAGCAATTGGTTGGCAGCGGAGTTTTTGAAGATTGTTTACGGTCACCGCCTTCATTTTCCACTTCGACATTTCCATGCCTCTGAGCAGCTCGTCAGTTCTCTGTACCTCATTTGCTAGTCAAGTGTAGCGTGCATAGAGGAGGACTTGAGCGCCTGATGCATACGGCGATCTAGGAGTTGGTTATTGTTGCAGTTCTTGACGTTCTGTCTACTCCCGCTTGCGGGTTTGGATGCACTGGTCGTACATTCCTGGCATATCCTCGTGCTCTGGTTCACATCGCCGCCCGCCGCATATCACACATTGTTAATCGCCATGTCTCATTACCGCTATTTCCACACGCATTATCTTTGTCGATTCTGTCAAGCTTCTTGTAGGTAGCAGTTGTACTTGTCTTGCACTGGCGAGGGTACTGCATTTATGTCATACTATATCTCAAGCAATGAATCGATGTTTCCGCTTTCTGAACAGAATTTCTGAAATGATGCTAAGAATTCGATCGAGCCCTGCTGGTATCCATGGTTGAGTTCAAAACGCACATAAATTGAAATCATGGGTTTGTGGAGCGGCGGTAGTAGCTATCTGACCTTATCGATCGATAAGGTCTGTTCCCATACTACTATGTCAGACAAGCCTGCCGTTCACCGCCAACTGAATATCAAGTCAGGCGTGGCGAAAAGGCAAGAATAGCGCGCGACTTTGGGGTCGCAGAGCGCTAACGCTATTTCTCAGGCTTTTGAAGGAACACATCCTGTACGCAAAAGAAGCAGAAGAGCAGCAGCGGAAACTCGATAAGCTTATCGCCAATAATGCTGAAGAGTGGGACGTGAAAAGTGCCGTGCGTGACAAAAGTCATTTTACATTCATCACCAACTGAAGCTCATGTTCATGACAATACGCCGATCAGAAAAGGATATTGGAAGAGTCACACAGGATGATCAAGGATTCTGATAACCGTCTAGGCAAGGCGGTACAAGATCTACGAGAACTCGTCGTGCGTATCTCGGTCGTTTTCTAGCTTTTGCCTTGCGTCACCCTTATGCGCGCATCTTTTGGAAGATACGGGTCAAGTCCCAACCTGAGTTTGCAGAAGACGTCGAGCTGCTGCATGCCGAGGAAGCACTGGAGGAGGCGAGTGTGTAAGTTTCGGCTGTAAACTTGAAATATCACGCGATGGTACGAACCTGACTTTTGATTGCATTATATTAGACATTTGGATTCGAAGGCCTCGGGATAGACACATGCAGCTCATTATAGTTTAGTTGGACTCATGTATTCATTGCGTGATGTGGGGAAGTGTGTATTGGTTGTTCGTGCTGTTGTGATGCCTTGAGGCGTGTGAGGGCGTCGAGTATGCCCACCCATGCATCTCGATCTACGCGCTCTTCTTGCAGGCCTCTGGTCCCTGCAGTTCTTGGAAGACCGACGCCGAGTGAAGGGGGAACGAATCCGAGAGGTGGGGCTGTGATTGCAGATGGTGCAATTCGTGACTGGCGGATATGAGCCAGTGAAGAGCGAATAGCTCCTTGAATTGACTACGGAAATTGAGTTTATAAATTTTTTTGACATGTGTGATGACTGACGTCTAGCCGTTCAAAGTACTCGCTGACTTCTAGAACGAACTGTTCTGAGCGCTCTTCTCCTTGAGGGAGGTTGTCCTCGGGCTCATCCGTCTGAGGGAGAGTGAGCAGTGAGACAGAGGACGCTGCAAGGGATAGGAGACGGGTTATGTCCTAGTGACGGGATTGTGAGCGGTGCGCCCACCATGCGGTGGATGTTACGGCTTACTTTTTCGACTTCACCCAAGGCGTATATCTGGCGTGCAGTACGGCTTGATGTCCATATTGGATCGATCTCAGATGGATCGTTCTCTTGGATTTCTGGGCGATGTGCCATGAGGAAGAAGAACTTTGTATTGGTGCTACTAATAGCGCAAGTACTGCGGCCAAGTATTGTACTAGGCTGTAGTTAGTTATTTAGCGTCATTTACATAAACTTGTTCCCGTATAGGGACTCTCCGTCTGTTTTCCGTTGGTATCATATCTGCAAGAAGCGGCGAGGACCCGCGGTCTAAAGAACACCTGTCCTTTAATGATCATCCAGGGACATCATGTACTGGGTAATGAGTGCTCGACGAAAAGTTATACTTAAGTGTATGACCCTGAAGGTGGGAGAGGCTGTCATGTGACATGATGTTCGATTCGAATGGTAGTTCGCCAATATTAATATTAACTAGGGACAGGGCCGCCTTACAATACGGAGGTCTTAAAGAGACTTTCTGCTATCAGTCGTAGACGCGTGTTGCAGCGTGCACGATATCGGAAGTGGTCAAACCTTCGAGGAATGGAAGTACTTCAACCTATGAGCACAAGACCGCAGAAAGATTGCTTTAGTAATTGAATTGCCTAATAAGGAAACCGCTGGTCTGGAGTTTGACTTAGCTATGGCGTTAAGCTCATCCGGGCAAGCTACAAGGCGTAGTAGACAGCTCCAATATTCTATCTTGTGATTCAGGACGACGATCGACCTGGAAAATGGAGTCGCCACTAACCTATTCTCCAGTACAGAGTACCCATTCCGGTCTTCCCTCAAGGTCCCGCAGCAGCACAAAACTTGGTGACGATGTCACCTCATTAACTTCCTTCAACCCTTTCTCAGAAGAGGATGAAAATGACTATTCGTCCTATGCTATCGTGACGTCTTTGTTCTCGCGCATGAAGAATAGCTTCGCGGTGCCCTTGACATCTTCCACTCTCTCACCCCCTCCCAATGGCACTCTTGGGGCCCTCACAGGCGAACAGAAACGTCCATCCGTGACCTCCGTAAACGCGTCTGCATTTTCTTCGCGGTCTTCTGCACCAGAGCGTCCGTCGTCATTGTCAGTCGTGCCATCCAAGACTGCGCCACCCCTCGTATCCTTGACACCCGTCGTGTCAGATCCACCGTCCTTTGGTGTAGAATTGGACCGCTCGCCTTCACGTAGTGGTCAATATACTCCTGTATACGAGACTCAAGACGGTGGTTTCTTTGGTACTGCTATCCCTGGGTTTCCCATTCAGGACGATGCACGTAGCATACGCACCACTGCTTCTCGGTCCGCCTCTGTCTCCAAAGTCATACGTCGCATTCGTGGTGAAGGTAAATATACAGACCCTTTCTTAATTGCTTCTGACACTGCCGTAGGTCTCTCTCGCGATTATTGGATGGAAGACTCCAATGCAAAGGAGTGTTATGATTGCAAAAGCGTATTCACAACATGGCGACGCAAACATCATTGTCGTATATGCGGTACGTACCCTGCCTTTCAAATTCAGACCCTGCAGCTCATACAAGTGCAGGCCAAATATTTTGCTCGCGTTGTGCATCAAATATCATCAAGGGTTCCAGGTTTGGTCATGACGGCATGGTTCGAGTGTGCAATCTCTGTCTCGAGAAACTTGCAAAGGTTGAAGATGAAGATGATGACGACAGACGTTCTGTTGTCTCTTTTACAGCCTCTCCATTCCCTGCCCACCAGTTTGGCAACGATTCATTCGCGCTCAGTCTCGGTCATCATCCGCAATCTCCATTCGCTGCGTCCCAGCTGTTCGGAAGGACGGATGAACCGTTCAATCTCTATTCTATTGCTGAGACAAAGCGAGTGATATCTGACAATGATTCCGTGTCTACTGCCCTTGCCGAGTGGGAGCCTGTCCGCGAGAGTACAGCACCCTTTCGACGGAACCTCTCAGAAGACGAGAAGGATCCCCCCTCAATATCCAACTTCACCAAAAATACCCCACAAACTGCTGTGACTCCTCGGTCAAAGACCCCAGTCGACTTTCCAGTCACTGTACCAATTAATGTTGAGGGCACTATGAGCTCAATTCAATTTCCCTTGAGCTCTCCGGACCAACACGGATCCGATAGTCCCGGAAATTATAATGTCATGCGCTCCAGATTTAACAGCTTTGGTGATTTTGATGCTGCTACGCCCTTTATCAGGAGCCGAGCGCACAGTCGGCTCGATAGCTTCCCTACTATTGAAGGTTGGCGCACGAGGCGAGATTCTACCGCGTGAGTTAAAATTTAATATAATCCATCCTGCAAGATCTCATGTCATGGGCTCAGGTATGCTCAAGAGCTTAACCTAATTTCCATGTTCCACCTTCGCGTCATGCTGCGGCAGATGCTTACGACCGAGCAGATTCCGAACATCAAGGGATGGGAGGAAACCCTGCTCAAACTTGCTCTTCGCGTCGCTAAAGAACTGACCTTCACTGCCCTTCCATATCACCAAGGCGAAGACATGGATGTCAGACGATATGTCAAAATCAAGAAAATCCCCGGTGGCGTACCAAGTGATTCGGAATACGTTGACGGTGCCGTTATAACCAAGAACGTTGCCCACAAGCAAATGTCACGTATGCAACGTAATCCCCGTGTCATGTTTGTAACCTTCCCGTTGGAATTTCATCGAGTCGAGGGTCAATATGTCCACTTTGGCCAGATTCTTAGGCAGGAAAAGGAGTATCTCGGAAACTTGGCGAGCAGAATTGCGGCGCTCAGGCCACACGTGGTGTTGGTGGAAAAGTCCGTGAGTAGGATTGCACTCGAAGGGCTTGCGAAGCATAATATCGCCGTCGCTCGCGCTGTAAAGCCTACCGCGATCCAATTCGTGGCTCGGATGACTCAAGGAGATGTCTTCTCGTCGATCGATAAGCTTGCTCTAGAGCCCCGATTAGGTCATTGCGCGCGGTTCCGTGTTCAGACTTTCGACCACCCTCTGATCCCAGGGCAACGGAAGACTTATATGCGGTTTGAGGGATGCAGCCGTGAGTTGGGGTGCACCATCATCCTGAGAGGAGGGGACGTAGATACGCTGAAGAGGGTGAAGAAGGTTACCAGATTCTTGATGTTTGTCGTGAGGAACTTGAAGCTGGAGACCCACCTGTGGAAGGACTCCGTGATTACGCTCCCTAGCCTGAGCGCAGAGGCTGTGCCGGCAGGTGTGACTATAAAGCGGTATGCAGAAGGATCTGGCACAGTATCGAACCCTGGTGGTCTTGTGCCCGCATCGGTATCCCTGGTGCATCTTGTGACACCAGAGGATAAGGAGCGGCAAAAGGCAGAGGAGGCGGAGATCAAAGAAGCTGAAGATGATCTTCCGGATGCTGATGCCGAGCGACTTCGTCTTTCCAAGCGCATTCAGCAGTCATTGGAGCCGTACACGAAGACGTTCATATCCGTTTCTGCTACTCTGCGCTTTCCTCCCCCTCAGCCTATTAGGAGGATGAAGGAGTTGGATGATGAGCTTACTCATGCACAACGCGCTTGGGAAGACGAGATTGTGCGAAGAGAGGAGAAAGGCCCTGTTACAAATGATAGTAATGCCCTCTCGGGAACCCCCACGCCTGCAAGTGAAGCAACAGCTACTGTGTCCAGAATCGAACCAGATGTGGACGATGTTAAAGCCCAAATCGAAGCACTCCCACTCCCTGATCTTCCGAAAACACCAACTTCTGGTCTGTCTGAGCTCGGCGAGGAACCCGCTGGTTACTTCGAGCCTCAGCCAAGCACATTACATGTCCTCGGGGGGACATCGTTCTTCCATTCCCCCCGCCTTATCGATCCTTGCGAGAAAGAGCATTTGATTCCCCTCAAGACCGCCACGGACATTGCGCTGGAGAGCCAGTTAGGTATGGTGCAGCATCGCCACGAAGAGCAACGGCGTATATGGGAATGGTACCTCCGCAAGAACGCTGACGATTTCGTGATTGACCAGTACCAATGCATTAGCCTTTGGGAATACACTATCCCGATCGAAGAATTTGGTCTTCATCGCGCCTGTTTCGCTCCTGGATTGAAGTATATCAAATTCTATGGCGAGAACGATTGCACGCTGGGTCAATTCATTGAGAAAAGCGTTAATGAGACGTTGGTCCAATTCCTTGACCCAAAAGCGATTTGCACTGGGAAAGGATGCAACCAGCCACTTGCAAGACATTGCAAGGTCTTTGTGCATAACGAAACCAGACTAGCAGTTGCTGTGGAGCAGTGGGATGGGCAGATCAAGGCCAGGGGTCCGCATCTCTATCCGTCGCCGGAAACTATCACGACTTGGAGCGCTTGTCGGGTGTGTGGCTCAGCAACGCCATTTATTCCCATCTCCGAAGAGATGCAGCGGTACTCCTTTGCGAAATTCTTGGAATTGCACTTCTATCCCGCGGACGTACAGCTTGTGCAGGGTGCCGGCTGCCAACATAACATCTATCAGCACCACATCCGGTACTTTGCAACGAAGGGAATGACTGTGCGGTTCCAGGCAGATCCTGTTGTCATCCATGAAGTTGTCTACCCTGCTATGCGTATTCGTATCCGTCCGGAGTCACAGCTGGAACTCAAGAATGCAGATTACGAACGACTTCACCGTCGGAATACTATGTGGTACACAGCTCTTGTCGATGATCTCAAGCTCATCAGCATTGATGCAGCGACTGGTGATGAAGAACAGGACGCAAAACTCCTCGCCGATATCAACAAGCTCATTACACGCGCTGAAGATGAGAGAGAAGAGATTGCTCAGTTGATCAACAAGATTTACAAAGAGTCGGCTCCGACTGACACGCTCGTTTTGAATCAAGTTCGATCCTTCCGACAGGACAAGATCGTAGCATGGCAGCAGGACTTTGACAAACTCCCGAAGCCGAGGGGCATTCAGACCCTGGACCGGAATACGCGGAGGGTATCTGCTGCCCTTGGGTCTGTGAGAGCGATGTGGCCGAAGAAATATGAACCTGCGAGTCCTAGTGAATCTCTTCAACCCTTTTCCGGTGTCTCGGAGGCGGAAGAGGGGGCGTTGACTCGTAGACGGGTCACTGGAGGATCCTTTGTTTCGTCTGCGTCAGAGGCTTCGG